TTTGACCTGCTACGACGGTTTCCAGCTTGGAGGCGGTGTGAGAATGGGCACAGTCCCGCGACGCAGTCGGACCATGGTGCGGTGATTGTCATTCTTGCTTCCCTCTCTGCGTCGCCAATAATCCCTGGTGGCGGCGATGTTGAAGAAGGATAGACTGTATTTATACTTTTGTCGAGACTAGCTTAGATGCCATTCTAGTCTGCTGTTTCGAATTACAGAGCTGTTTAGTCTATTAAGCGGCTATCGAGTTTGCGATACTGTGCCCCTCCAAAGCATCGCGCTTTTTTAGTCTATCCAAAGAGTCGGGTCGTCAAAGATCTTGGTGACGCCGGCGCCCTAAAAAGGCTCGTGACAGATCGCCTTAGCGGGAAATCTCTCTGGGGAACCATGCTTAGGAGAAACCTCTGAATAGATAGACTGTTTGTTATACCAAGCTAGTCGCCAATGCAGAGACTAAACATCCAAATGCCGTTGCGCGAGCGTGGTACTCTGTGTTTACGCGGCGACTCAACCGAGATTCCTGTCGACAAATTTGCGACCGACGATGGAGAGCGATTTTTGTACAGACCTCAGCTGTCCTCGCCAAGTTCACGATCGGCAGCGAGGAGCACCCCTTACAGCGACAGAAGAGCTCGGCTAGTAATAATTGGGTTAGCTCTCACCATCAACACACCTGCATGGGATATACCGACAAATTATCTTGGCGTTCATACCATGTTGCAAAATCTAAGCGATAACCTGGACAAGGAAGCCTACATACATGGCAAGTAAGCAGGCAAGCAAGCAAGCAAGCCATGTGGCTGGATGGGTACGGCATACGGTTGGAAGGAGGCCAAAGCTGTTTCTTGGGTGCATAATGTGGGCTTACAGGGCTTGTAGTGATGGGTCTCTTCCCTCAGCTCGGAGCCTCCCAGGGCAAGGTAGTTGACACATCAGGTCCCCGACACTAGTTTACTGGACCGCTCATTCGGTATCGGACCTGACATCCAGCTCTTCGAGCTCCATCTCGTCCCGGTTCGCCGCCTATGAGCAGCATTAAGCGGACATATCGCCGACAAGTATTTGGTTGGCGCAAGATTTCCGCGAGGCAGAGGTCTTGTTTCGAGAAGGACATGCGTAGAGTGGTGTAATCATCAAACGATATCTCACCGCATGTATGTCATGATCTCGGAAGATGGCCAGCAGGAACATTCAAGCTTTCGGTGCTGCAAACAGAAAGCGGAATATGGACGGGGGTACATTCACGCTCACGGCAGACACTCTCTTTCGACACTTACGTAGTACTATGTAACTTGGGTATACTTCGAGGCTGGGAGATTGTTGCCGCAAAAGTCCCCACTCATGCACCTCGGCCTGATCACAGCTGGGACGCCCTTCTGCAGCACCTTCACCGCACTTCGGTACACTGCGAATGATTTCACGACGTCTTCGGCGTGCACATGATCTCGCCTCCACCACTGAAGGGGCAACAAAATCTAAATCTCGGTGCTGGGCGTGCAGCATCATGTGCCATTGCGGCCCCTATGGCCAACCAGTCGCGGCGATGAGCGCAATTGCCACATCACCTATGGCTATGACTGTATTATTGAAGCTTCACACAATGTGACGGAACGCTCTGGCTGTGCCGATTGCAGAGGCGGAAGGAATCACAAGCAATGCCGACGTCCGACCCAGGTCTTGCAGAGCCGATTCGCCCGCGATCTTCGCCAGAGGGTAGAGGTAAGATCCCTGGAGTTGGCCGGAACACGCACCAGCCGAGCAAAGCCATTCGCGAGGAGCTGGGGGCACGTTGCCCGATGATTGTCACGATGCTCCACAAGCTGACGAGAGAACAATGGCACACGCGAAATCCAGACCGCGATTGCCATGTTCCCCAGAGCCACCTCGTGGGAAAGCTGTGGATAACACACCGTCAGGCATGATGTAGGTAGCAATGCAGAGCACCAGTCAGAGCAAGGTATGCCATGTTGTTTCTCATCGTGAAGTCACATCTTGCATGGACGGAAACCCTCACTTCTGGCGCACGAGTCAGCTGAAGATCCGGCACCGGCGAGTGGGCTACTGCGAAGAGGGCTAGGTCGGCATAGATCTGCCCCTAGGCAGGCAAGAGCCTGCAATGTCTCGAAGAATACTGTAATGTCGGATCGCTAATCCCAATTGTCGATAACGCGGCCCACCAATATTTGACGAGGGAGGAAGAGAAGCACCCCCTGTCGGTGCAGGGTGTGGTGCATGGAGCAGCCACCAGCCCAGCAGGCCCAGCAGGCCCCAGGCAAGGCCCAGCACCAGCGCAGCGTACCACAGTCGAGGAGAGTCTAGAGAAACGTGGAGAAGGGCGGCGCTACTTGGGACCACGCGCAGCAGGGGATTTCCCATCCATCTCTGTAAGGTGTAGTGTGCTCAGATTGCCGAAGTCTTTAGCGCTTGTTGCCCTCCCCCAATCCCCAATGCCCAAGGTCAAATGGGCCCGGAAGAGACAGACCAATCTCGCCAGCCAACCGTGGCAGCAGGCAATGTTTCAACATGGGAATGCATCGCGGCGGGATGAAATCGAAGGCGCACGTCGGTTCCACAAAAGCAGCCCGACAGCCCCGACCCAGGCGAATGGAGGAGGGAATTGGACCTGGCCCTGCTCTCGCCGCTCTGCCTGAGAAGCGCCGCGACAGGGGAACCCCATCAGAGCTGATGAATGGGAAAATATTGGATCACAGTGCGCGAGGGAAATGAATACTTGTTCGTGAATCGTGGGCGCACAGGCGCTCGCTGCACAGATCGTCGAGAGTGGTCTAGGATTTGCATGTTGGGATTACTAGTGGGAACCCATCCAAGGCCATCCTCGTCCAGGGTCTCTGATGTAACTTCCCAGGATATTGGCAATGATTCAAGGAGCCGGGTTCTTGCTTGGTGCTGGCTGGGAGCTCTCCACGTCCACGTCCACCCACGATGGCCACCTGAGCCCCGACCTGAACCTGACGGACGGGGGACGCGAGAGGCACTGACTGGCAGGGAGCGAAAGTACCACGGTACCAGAGTACCTTGATTGATGCTGCCCACATGCTGCATGCGCTTTTTCGATGCGCTGCTTGCCGGGCCTCTCTGTCTCTCTGGGGGTCTGGCTGTCCATCAGGCCCCCCCCCCCCCCCTCGCCCTTCAAGACAGCCAGCAGCTCGACAAGGGATAGATATTCTCGAACAGGCATGCCGCGTTCTGGTTCTTCCTGGGTCGGAATTGATGCTAAGCCTCTTTGCCCACTTTTGCGAACGCGCCCCTCTCTCTGGCAGCAAGTCGTGATTTTTTTTTCTGCCCTCTGAATCCATCCCTTCTCATGCTTGTCTCGCCCTAGGTCTCCACTTGTCTATGGGCCTTTCAGGAGGAGCCGCCGTAATCAATTGCCTACATCAGCCCGCCTTCCTCAGGTTTCTCGCCGAGTCAAGTCACTGACTGATGCGTTGATCCGTTCGACCCAATGATCCATTGACCGTCCAGCCCGGCCAGACTCGCACTCGCACCTGCACTTGCACTTGACCTGACCCAGCAGCGGTAACTCGGCAGCTGCGGACATACGGATACGTAGTAGTCCAGGCCACCGCACCGGTCCCCTCGCCTCTGCTCTGCTCGGCGTGCACACCACATTTTTATTTTTATTTTTTGCCCAGCACGGGCAAGAGACGCGCCTCGCCATTGCCTGCCGCCCAAAATTTTCTCGTTCCCGACGTGTTGGAGCAGGGACTCGGCCCAGCAGTCAATCACTCTTCGACAGCTCTTCTTCCCCTTCCACCCAGCAGAAGAAAAAAAAAAACATTCCCAAACTTAACCTAATTTGACCTCCCTCTCCCATCCACCCACCCACCCACCCACCCACCATCTCATCACCACCACCACCACACCTGCTCCATTCCCAGTTCATCACACTGCTCTGAGTTGCTCAGCAGCGGGTATTTTTTTTGACTTCGCGCTGGCATAATCGTTACTCCTGTCACGACGTGAGAGTTCCAGCGAGTATCGAGTACTAGCGCGGGTTTGAGTTGGTTCATCGAGCCAAACGCACGACCGCCGACTAAAGTTCCGGGCTAGACTATTCTGCTCCTAGGCTTGGGGGCGGACTGACCGGTCCTGAACGTCACCATATTATAACTCTCTGCACGTCATTCCCCAGGCCACTTTCGTGGGCGAGGGCACAAGGGCAAGAGTCAGTTGTCCGCCTGCCCGCCAATTCCCGGAGCCAGCAGGCACCGCGCCAGAGCCGATACATACAAAGGTCGTGCTTTTCCTCCATCCTGCCCATCTTGAGCCGTCACCGCGCTAGCTTCCTCAGCTAAGCCAACTGGGCAAGAACCTGTCAACCAGCCCTTCCTATTTTTCGACACTATTCAGGTGTCAAGCCTCCTCCCCCACCTGGGTTGACTTGAGAGAGCTCGCCTCTTCCGCCATCCTTTCATCAAAGGGGGCCAACACTAGGCTTTAGCTTCAGCACTACACGACCCGGACCCGACATCTGAGTAGCCGTGTACTACTCGTGCTCCCCCTCTGCGGCGTGCTAAGAAGACCACTCCAGACAAGGCTAACCCTCTGGTGCCCGTCATCTAAGAGAGCTCGTGGTTCCTTGCCCATCAATCTTGTCCTGGAACCGCTATCTTGGTCTCGAAATAGGGTGGCTTACAGATTGTGTGGGTTCGGTGGATCTCCAGATCAGGACTATTTCATCCAACCAGACCCTGGGACCCAGACCAGACAGGACTAGAGGATCCGCGCTATTCCTCTCGATCTACCTGCCGTCACTCACCATCTCCCGCCATCAAATACGTTAGCCAGCCCAGCAGCAGCTTGCTTCTTTGGACCTGGTGTAACCTATCCTACTCTGCTCTTTCCTCCCCATCACCGTCACCACCACCGACGAACCATCCACCCTTCCACCCGCTGAGACATAGCGTTGTCGAACTTGAGCTCGCCCCAAGGACTCAGTAACAGTCCGTCCCTCAAGCAGACTTCGACTTCGTAGCATGTACCTGTCGGCTGCTCAACAACCTCAGCATCGAGAGTTTGTTCAGCATCCCGCCTCCGTTCCACGCGCTGCGACATTGCAGCTCGGCAGCCGAAGCCCAGACCTTCGCTCCATGGAAAGGAGTGCCCAGGAATACTCGCAGTCAGGTTTGCCTTCGCCCTATCCAAGCGTCCTAGGCGACTCCCAGTCTGAAGCTTCCTCCGCAGATCACGCGTCTGCTGCTCAGTACTCCAGCTCTGGTGAACCGCGTTCCGCGAACTACTCCACGTCGGCTACGCCCACCTCAGAATACGGAGTCTATCCGCCTTCAGCGAGGTCAGGTTCGTTCCCTGAGCATATTCAGCGCGCATCATACCATCCAGCAAGCAACCACGGCGGCAGCAGCGGAGGTATGGCGCAAACACCAACAAGTCCGTCCATGCCTTCTCAAGATGGACGCAACCATCAACCCCAGCAAGTCAAGTCTAACGACGATATCCCCCTAGATCCCTCGCTTGCAGCACCCAGCCCTACGTACGGCCAGAGCCAGTACTCACCGTACGGTCCGCCCCAACATCACGACAACATGCAGAGCTACCCGCAGAGCGGTAGCCTCTACCCACAGGCGCGGCCTGACTGGGGAGCTTACGGCCAACCCGGCCAGATGCACCCGCATCACCCTTACCCACCTACGCCGACATCTGTCGCGCCTCCCGGCCGACCTGCTCAGGTAGGTATTTTCATCTCTAATATTGCAACGCGCAGCGCGTTGCAGTGTAGTTGCAGCAAAAACGACGCGGACCATTTCCTTTGCTCGACCAGAATCATCAGTTGTGTGCTCCCAGCTAACTGACTGGCTAGGTTTACTCGTTCGTTCCCATTCCTGGAGCGCAGCAGCACAAGCGTCCCCGCAGAAGATATGAGGAAATTGAGCGTATGTACAAGTGTGGATGGAATGGCTGCGAGAAGGCCTACGGCACCTTGAACCACTTGAATGCCCATGTCACCATGCAATCGCACGGACAAAAGCGAACACCTGAAGGTAAGATTTTTTGGGGGTTCTCCAACCCTCTCATCACCACATTCGGCAGTTACAGCGGGCGGCCTTTATCTGCAAATTGCAGTCTCGCGGCGTCCTAAACTAGCTTGCCACGAGCGGACGACTAGTCTGTGTAGCCGCTGACAAGCGACACGTCAAAGCCTCACCTACAAAATTGTGACAATCTTGACGCTAACTTGTTTTGCAGAATTCAAGGAAATCCGCAAGGAGTGGAAGGCCCGCAAGAAGCAGGAGGAGGCTGATCGCAAGGCCGCCGAAGAGGCTGAACGCCAGCGTCAGGCTCAAGAGGCCGCCGCTCATAACGGTGCACCTGGCCCTGAGGCTGCCGCTGGCCAGCCTGGGCAACCTTACGGTAGTGGTAGCTTGCCTCCTATCCGGTACCCTACCGCTGGTAGCCAGTACCCCGCTCCCCCGTCGTCTGTTCCTCAGCAACCGCTTCCAGAGTATACCAGCCCTACAAATAGCATGTACCCTGGACACTACCCGCCAGCGTCGCCTTACGCAGCCCCCGGTCAGCAGCAGATGTACAGCCAGCGTCAGTAACTGCTTGGGACGGCAACAGGTCTGGGGGGCATGCTAACGGAGCTATAGAACAAGCCCAAGAGAACTAGGAGTCTGCTGTAATGCGCGGTCTGGCGCAGACTCACTAGGGCATAGGCCTGGATGTAGCACCCTGTGAGGCGGTCCCAAAACCTGATGTATCATACCATCTCCTCACGACCAACACACTTGTTCATAATTACTACGTTTTGGGGGCGGGCAATAGACGGCTATCAAGAATGCGTCGACGCGTCGGCGCCCCGGGGTTTATTAGGCTTCACGAGAATGTACGACTTCCCACTGAGTATACACCATTGGCGGGCGACTCCCACGAGTTGCATACTATTGCATTTACATCCGGCGAGGGCAGGTCTCATTACCGGCTGTCAAGTTTCATGGCATACCTCGATCGTTTGATTTAGGGCTGGTTCGTGGGAGTTGGCCCACTTGGCGGATGGATCTTTCGACTTTTCTATAATTGGTCCATCCAGCATCCGGTTTGGGAGACGTTGAGTGGTTTACTTTTTTCTACGCGTATGAACTGCAAAAGCCGTTCCCGAGTCGAGACATGAAAATATCCAAGGGGGCGGAAATGTGGTTGTTTGACGTGGCACAGTCCACAGCACATAGAGAGGAGGCCATTGTAGTTGTGGCCTGTCAGTACACAGGAGCATCAGCAGCTGATGACGCATTGAGTTACAACAAAAAAATTGAGTTCGTTGATTTCTGAAAATGTGCACGGTGTTTTCTCTCCCTGTTATTGCGCCAGCGTGGTGCGTAGTTTGAAGAAATCACAGCTTGTCGACTGCGTTCAATTGTACGAGTGCGTTGACGGCTGCATGCACTGTCCTGAAGTCGCACGAAGATTTCCACGCCATGAATGCGCCGCCTCCATGCTTAACATATTCTCCGAGGACCTGGTCAGAACCAAGCTTTTGCAGATGTAAGTCATCGCTGTCTAGGCTAGTTTAGCTGTACTACGCTCGCCACGAGGTGCGCCGGCGCGCATTTGTAAGACAGACCGGGCTCCGCGAAAACAGCTGGGTTAGGGGACGCTGTGTAACCACACCGCTGACCCCGGACTCTTGACTAGCCGGGGTTCACATAGCCTTTTACCTCACTCGGCCTGGTGCTGCAGAAATCAAGAGAATTGATCGCCAGGTTGCGCGCATTATTATGTGGAAGCAAAATCATCTACCGAACTTGATAATAGTATGAAAGCTGTTGTGTCGAACAGAAATGCATGCGCGAGTGCCCCGCATGCTCTGGCGGGACGGTACATTTTTTTTTGTTTTTTGTTTCGTTACGCACCTCCGAGTATACATTGCGTTCTATCGGAGACTTCCAGGTGGCAGGCCGACCGTTGGAAATGTGCATCAACTGTATTTAGCTGGGGTAAGCAAATAAGCAATTGATTCAAGTATTGCAGAACCCTACTAGACGCCCTTGGGCTGTCAACGTGCATGCAGTAGTTGCACTGGTACGGACCCTGCTGGTAGGTTTATTGGGCTGGCTGTCTATGCTAGATCGCCGCAAGGATTAATATAGTCGGCGCAGACCGGTCACGTTTAGAGCTTCCAACTGACAGCCCACTTCGAAGCGATCCGAAAACCCCGGTCCGGAGGCTAACGCGACCGCACATGCGACCCATTCCGTTCCGTCAACCTTTATTTTTCGCCCGGGGTGTTCGTCTTGGTGTTGGTGCCGGTGCTGGGCCAAGCGTTGCCTAACTTGGTGAGCCCGCAACAAGTCCCTGGCTCTTAAATAATGTTTTTATTTTTCTTCCCCCTCCCCTCTCGTCCCCCGAAGCTAGACCAGGGCTTTTAGCCACGCTTCGTCCCGAGCTCACTAACGGTCGGACAGGCAGAAAAAAACTCGAGCTTCGTGCGTCCGCCGCACTTTCTGCAGCTCGGTTTATTTATACCCGTTGTCGCGGTAATCCAATTGTTAACAGCGGCCCCGTGGAATGGACCGGGCAAGCTATGCCATCACCTAGCTAAAAGTTTCTCCAGGGGGAGCGGGCTACATATGATACCCGAAAGAATATATACACTCGGGCGACCCAGTTGCAAATATATATAAAAAAAAACAGTGAGACCACGCACAAGGGTGAGTAGCGTAGTGTGACGTCCAAATAAGCGTTTGGATAGGGAAAGAGTCAACAGACCCCTGTCGTCTTCCAGGCGTTTACTAGAAGCCTTCTATTTCGAACCTAGTATGCATACATGTACACAGTAGGCGAAAAACGCAGCCTCGAGGATCTGGTCACAATGCATTGGAACCGCAGAAAGTGGGATCTGGGATCCTCTACTAATCCCCGTTCTGCCATCGTGCCCGGCGACCCGATGCACGAGAGACAGGCACACGCACACGCCCGCGCAACCTGGCAACGGGTTTTAATGGAACCGCACAGCACCGTAATCCAAGCTGCAGCGCGGGAACGCCCGTCTATCAGCAGCCTGCGCAGTTAGTTACTTCTAGAAGGTCATCCCAGAACTCCTACATCCTGACAGCACCCTGCCCAAGGCACTTGCTGCATTTAGCCTTCTCAGCACAGTTGTCAGGCTATCCTGGCGACAACCACCCGCATTGAGTGCTACCTCAAGATACGACGAACTCCGAGGGAGAGACGCGCTGCCGTGGCACACGATCGCAAATCAGGTCCTCTGGCTCCTCAACTCGACACTGCCATACTGTCACTCCCTTCCCATGCTTGCATCGGGTTGGGCACTTCTCGGGTCGCGCATTCTGCACGGGTCGTGGCTACGGTACAGCCAAACGTCGGGGCGCCGATAGGACGTCACAATGTTATTTCCTAATTACAAACCGCCTTAGCAGACATCATGCGAACGGCCTGGCAAGCCTGGCAAGCTGGCGGCCGCATGGCTAGAGCCTGCTTGTGAGCGGCTGAGAGAACCAATCAAGAACAAAATGCCAGAATGCATCGCCCGCGACATGTTTGATCAATAACATCAAAACGGGAAGTCTTGAGTCGTCGCCTTCCCCTCTCCCCTTTTGTCCCTGTGAGACCAGCGGCTTGTGCGTTGTTGGCTGTTCGTTCAAGCCTGAAACCCCGGCGGCCAGGCCGTGCCGATGACGTAGCATCACGAACAGGAAGGACCCTGAAAATCCCACCGCGAATCAAGGACTGGGAACCCATATCCTCTCTTTCTTGGATCTTGTTTAGGAGTGCTCGCGCAGAGAACCCCATGTCGCGGCGTACTTTACTCTCCTAAAGCAAATCGATTTTCCGTGGACTTTTCTCGGTGCTTGCGACTCCAGTCACTCGCTTGCTGCTTGCACCCTGCCTTGCTGGTCTTATTATCTCAAGAGAGACGCATCCCCCGCTCGCTAGAATATTGGAAGCCGGCAAAGGTTCCTGGCTTTGCGAACATTCCTTCTACGAGTTATCCCGTTGAGCGACGACCGCCGATCGCACTTCGACGAAGAACTACTTTCTCCGGAGCGTACTATTTGGTAGCGGCCGAGAATGGACCCACAACACGGTGGCTCCGCGAATTCTTCGACTTCTTCATCATCGGAGAGCGTGCGGCCGCTGCCATCTATTGACATCTCCCCACCACCCAGACTGCGACCACATCAGCAGGCGTCGGCAGATTCGCCTAGTTTGAACTCGTTGAAGTCCGTTGATTCCGTGCCGGTGACTGGTATCTATCCGCTCGGCTCGCTCCGAATTAATGAGCCAACGGACAATGAGGACGTCGATATGGACCTAGCCACACCGCTTACTGTCCCAGACACCACACCAGAGCGCACCATGGATAAGAATTTGGAGCTTCTCAAGGGCGGCGACGTGTTGCTCCTGGATGATCTGCCGTCGAGCTTCACTGTGGGCTGCGACACGATCTCCTTCTCCACCACACAGCAGTTCCTTGGCTTCCGGGACATCCCCCCCGGCGCTCATCTGATCTGGGTTGCACCATCGGAATCGACTTCATCGAGGAGTGGATATTGGATCACGACCCCTACGAAAGAAGAGACCAGCCCCGGCAAGGTCTACGTCAAGCAGTGGGACAAGTTCAACGAAGTCCTGAGTGATCCCGCCAGCCAGGCCGAGGAGAGGTTTCAGAGGGAACGGCTCGGCGAAATCTTCGCAAACCTGGCCCCTTACCAGTTCAAGGCCTCCACGTCTGCTGTGTCACCACCAAGCCGGTCCGGTAATGCTGAGCCATTGCCTCCTTTCGTGAACAACACAACGATATGGCACCAACTGACGTCGTCCATCCAATCCCACCTGCTCAATCGTGTCCTGGGAGGCAATGAGGAGACATGGCCAGTGAACACGACCGACAGAATCGTTGGCGAGACTACAATGCCCGAGGAAGCGCGACTCTATCCCTCGGCCGCGGCTCAGTTCCAATTTAGCTTTCCTATGGATCAGCGCCTGTTTGACACGACTGCGGAGGGCTCGGAGAGGACACAACAGGCGCTCGATCCTACAACCTGGACACTGGCGAGGACGGACGACGGCAAGACTCTGCTGGGCGAGATCCAGTTCGCCTTCCTCACGGGCATGCACCTGGGCAACTACTCGTGTCTGCAGCAGTGGTGGTACTATCTCGTGCACATAGTCTTCAGGTCCTACCGCCTCGCGATCGAGCGGCCCGAGCTCGCCCTTGACCTGGTCCAGACGTTCCACGCCCAGCTCGTCTACAACGACCGCTACCTGGAGGGCGACATCATGGAGAGCATGCCGGGGGAGGCCAGGCGGCTGCAGAAGGCCCTGACCGTGTACAAGTCGCGGCTCAACGAGCAGCTGCTCTCGCTGGGCGACCGGTGCACGGCGGAGCAGAACGCCGTGGGCCAGGCCTTCTCGGCGCTCGAGAGCTGGCTCTGGCGCTTCGGCTGGGACCTCCGCGGCGAGTACGTGCGCTCGGGCAAGGTCATGCTCGAGGACGGCGAGATGGTCGAGGCCGAGCTCTCGGACTTTGAGAGCGAGGACGAGCGGGGCGAGTTCGCCGCCGTCGTCGTCGATGTGGACGAGAACGGGCGGCCGACGGACTTGGTGTCCGTCTGATTGGTGTTGGGCGACATGCTGTAAAGGCCCAAGCTCTAAAAGGGGGGATTCAGCAAGGTGGCTGGCAGCTTGGCAGACTTTGCGAGCAGAATGACTTCTTCGAGGAGACGTCGTTTCACCTATTACTTCATTTTGACTGCATGGCACTGGCGTTCCTGGCTGGACGAGAGAAGAGAGAACGGTATTGTGCTTTTATCGATCTTGAATTTGGAAGGTTAATTTGTACGAGAGGATCGACTACCGAAACGGGCTTCACTAGGGCCTCTATGTTAATGACTTTGCTGGAAATCGAGCGGCTTTCTTCTAGCTATGAATCTACTGCTGGATTGTACCGTAAGCAAATATCAGTGATCGCTACTAGTCTTTGCGTGAAGCAATTTGGTGTCTACACATGTTATTTATGTGTTGCTACAAGGAACCATAATCTTGCTGTAATGGCTGACCAATTTCCGCCTGGGAACAAACTACCCTGTTTTCTCATTACGCTGCATTCACATTGTCTGTGATCTGCTCGATAGACTCAGCGTGTACTGCAGCGCCATGCGGTCTTGAACAGAGTCATCCTTGGGAGCCACCACGCAAGAAGCCGTCTGTCTCTTGGTGTTACCGTTTGTAACTGGTACTCCACGGAGAGGTGGTGGTGTAGATCTCTCATACTCGTTGCTACAACCCATTGAGCCCAACAATGGCCTTGGTACTCACGAGGGAGCAGAGCAAGAGAGGAAATCGAGCATCTCGCCGAAGCCATCGTGGCAACTGGCCTCTCCTGATATCTTGAGACGCACCTAAAGTACATGAATACTGTTTCTTGGATACTGCGGAAACTCGATCAGGGCGGCATGGCAACATGAGCGATCGGCGGTGCTGTTTTGGACCTAGCACTGGGCTTGAGACTCGACGACACTGCCAAGGGGCTTCGACCTCGATAACGAAGGCAGCGAAGAGCGGCACCAGCTACGGCGAACCAAGGCCTTAAGACGAAGGACATTTGAGATCTATAGCTCTGCTCTCCCCTTTTTGGAGGTGAAAACGCATCCGGGGGTTCTGCTGCAAGTCTGTCGAAGGCTGGCCGAGTCGTCGCGAGAGCCGTCGGTTGACGCAGGACTGCATGGCGGCAGCACTACTGCTTGGTCGGCGGTGCTGTGCAGTTCAGACGATGCTCCAAGATGGAAGGTTGACCTCCTCAACACACATGTGGAGGCCTGGGATAGCCCAGTCCTGGTCGCTCGCGGTGATGGTGCGTGTGCCTGCGAATATTTGTCGTCTCAACAAGCTCTGTGGTTCGCAGCGTCTTTCCCCGTGATGCTATGCTTGATTTGCCTGGGCTTATTGTGAGTGCTCCGGCTACAGGCCACAACTGGCAGTCCAAATAAAATCAAAGCTATGAAGAATGTGAGAGTAGTGACAGACTGGAACGGACGTATCATAGTTCGAGGGCCTTCCCAAAAGCAGCAGTATTAGAACAATCGAGGGAAACGAGCGAGCCGTATTGCTGATCAGCATGACCAGGACCGGAGAATACTACGACAGCAGCAGACATCGGTATGTAACTCCTAAGGGGGGTCGAGTCTGTCGTCACGAGCATAAAAACATGGCACCTTGAGTCACCCTGGACGAGATCGCGAGGTGGGTGAAATCTTGACGTTTCATTTCGCCTATTCCCTTACAAACCAGGCAGAAAGCAGCCATGCAAATGCATTGATGACAAAAGGCGTATGTAAGCCCTCTTCATGTATAGGATCCTCTTTTTGACTCCGTTGAGACCCCAGGCGCAATAATAGCCGTCCGTTTCCGCTCGAGAGCCACAAGAATTCCCATTCGTCGTCCCTTCATCACGTCCAGCACGACCGGAAATCCATCCAGCATTCCTTGTGCCAGGAGAAGGACCCAGTCGGCCGTGTCCCCCGTCCCCCGAACAACATCCGCGACAACCAGAGAGCGAGCCGTTTAACGGTAGGACTTCTGGAAGCGGGAGCGGGCACCCTTACCACCGAACTTCTTGGGCTCGCAACGACGGTTGTCGGCAACGAGGAGGGTACGGTCGTATTGCACGAAGGCGGTCTTGAGGGTGTTCTTGCTGTGCTCATCGACGAACTTCTGGTAGTAGGCGATCAGAGCCTTGGCAATGGCCTGACGGATGGCGTAGATCTGGGAAGTGTGACCACCACCGGCGACACGGACACGGATGTCGACACCAGCGAACTTGTCAAGGCCGATGACGAGGAGGGGCTCGTAGACCTGGAAGCGACGTGTTAGCACCCGGTATGGGACCTGTACGGGAGGGTCGCGGGAGTTTGAAGCGAAAACGGAAGTGCGTGGTATGGACGGGGATCATTGCTGTGCTGATGGCGGCATCGAAAGAGATGCGTAGTTCGGGAATCGTACCTTGAATCGCAGGATCTCGGGCTGAACCAGGGAAAGAGGACGGCCGTTGACCTTGACGAGGCCGGAGCCAGCCTGTGATGGAGGAAAAATATGTCAGCCTTTGGTTCATCTTGTCGACTCGCTTCTCGTGCGCAGCGGTTCCCATCTCCCAGATCGCCTCGGTGGACAAAATCTTCTCGTGTCTCTTCTTGCCGCCCGGATTCCAACCATGGAGCTCGTCTCCAATCCCCTCATCATCTCGAAAAATCCAGGTGGGCAGGACCAACCTTGCAGTGGGCGACAGCAGTAGCCGTCTTCTTCTTGCCGAAGCATTGAACGCTCTGTGTGCCAGCCATGTTTGCGGTGTGTGTTGTCGAGTGGTGAGAGTGTCGAGTGTCGCAAATCTCCTGGGCTTCACGTCGGGGAAAAGAGGGTCGGAGTCGGATTTGCTATGGGTTGAGGCTGGCTTTGATTTTTCGTAGGGTTTTCGAATTTGTGCCCTTCGCGCGCTAAATTGCTTTGGGTCCGCGGTGAGCGCCAAGGTGAAGGCCCGGAGTGGGGAATTAGCCGGGAAATTACCGGGCTCCAGCCCAAAGCAACACACTCCCAGTCCCCCAGTCCAGTTCCTACAGTATCTTATCGATTAGATAAGGCGTCAACTTCCAGACGCATGGTGGGGCTGCCTTGGTGCCTGCTCTGTGATGACGGACTGTCAGGTCGTCAGTGAACGACCTGGTGAGTGACGGGAACAGGAGCTCTATTGCCATCACACGCGCCCATGTCTGGGACGACACGTGCTGGACCACAAACACAGTACAATAGGAACTCCAGCTGCCGCACTTTGTGATTTGCGCCCTATTTTTCGTCTACCGGTACATCCGTGAGCTTATTCATTGCGCCGGAGTGCTCAGGTGCCTACTCAGGCCCTGTGTTTCACTCTCACGCGAACTTGGGGGAAACCTCCACTATATGCCGCTCTACGGCTTCACCCCGCGTCAAAGGCTCCATTCTCATATGACTGCGACTGCATGACCTGCTCCGGACTTACACCATCTTGAAGCTCTGGAAGTCGTCAGCACCTGAACCCAAACATGTCCCGCAAAGGGGTAGGCCTGGCCGCCTTTGACCGTTCTCGCCTCACCTCGGCCCAGTTCGCATCCCATGGCACCTCGCTGCGGACCACCAACGCCCAAGCCCTGGAGACCCAGCTTTCCGTCTTCCGCTCGCTGCTCCAGCAGTTTGCTCAAACCTATGCCAAGGACATCCGATCCAACCCGGCCTTTCGCGCCCAGTTCGCCCGCATGTGCGCAGCCATCGGCGTGGACCCACTGGCCTCGTCCTCATCGTCGTCTTCCAGCTCCGGCGCTGGCAACATCTGGTCGCAGCTGCTAGGCCGCAGCGTCAATGACTTCTACTTCGAGCTCGCCGTGCGAGTCGTCGAGACGTGCAGTGCCACGCGTGGTGAAAACGGGGGGCTCATTGGCCTCAAGGAGCTTCGTGAGCGTGTCATGCGCGGCCGTATGGAGGGCGCCCCAGAGGTCACCGAGGACGACGTGTTCCGAGCTGTTGGTACGCTCAAACCTCTGGGAGGTAGCTACTCGGTCATCAAGGTCGGCAACAAGTCCTATATCCGCTCGGTGCCCAAGGAGCTCAACACCGATCAGAGTGCGGTGCTGGAGGCGGTCCAGGTACTGGGCTATGTGAGTGTCTCCATGCTCATGGTAAACCTCCGGTGGACTCGGGCAAGAGCCCAGACCGCCGTAGAAGACCTTCTAGGCTCGGGTATGCTCTGGGTGGATAAGCAGGCCGAGGAGTGGGAGTATTGGAGTCCTGGCTTCATGCTGGGCGCGGCTGGTATCGGAGGCTGAGCTTACATGGACGGCCTATGCGGCCTCTCTTCTCAGCCTACCAGTATCGTCGGGCTTCAGCCGCTCGACGCCGCGCCCTTTGAGATATAAAACGCAACGCCCAGAGATGGCCTAACGATTTTGATGGCTGTACTGGGTTGCACAATATGGTCACTGCTGCTCGATTTCAGGGCTGGTCTCATGTAATATCCATTGGACTTTGGTGGAAGTTGGTTTGAGGCATGACGAAGCTCAGTGGGCTTCCAAAACCGTGGAGTAGGCAGGAGACTTCCTCGAAGGGTCCAACCAGTGGGCTTAGTTGCAAGTCTCGTTGGACCAGACTTCCAGATCGAGACTTTCAGGTGATTACCAGCACTTTACCACCAGCGCCAACGAGTTCTCACAAAACGAAGATTCTGTGGTCCTCACGTCAACGGAAAGCTGAGACATTACCACATCACCTCCGAGCGCTCACTAATGGGTACATTGTCACCCATACCTAGGGTACCTACCTACCTATGTAGGTAGGTAGTTAACTTTCTCTAACGAGACGGGTCCTGAACAAGTGTGTCTATGCAAGGCGGGCCTATTCCTCGGGGCTGTTCTGGCTGCGAACATCATACTCTCAACCTCCACGTCCACGTCCGGGCCAAGCCCGTGAAACTGCGGCCTTATCAGAGTTATCCCAGAGCTCAAGAATTACATCTCAGTATAGCACACAATCGTTTAAGCCTGCACTTCGTTCCGTCCGGACTAGCCCCTAGCTTCGCATCCCCAGACTTTGACTGACGATTCATACCGTGGTATCCACTCGTCGCCGACCCAGAAACCTCATCCCGTCGCCCAATACCTGCCCACCACCTTGGATCGCATACTCCGTACGTAACGCGATCAAAAATTCTTCTCTTCCCTCCCCACGCCGCTGCTCCCCGTCGATATGAACCCTGAGAAACGGCCTCCTCCCAACCAATCAGGAATCACCACAACACGGTACTCCAACATCATCAGGGGATGTGGTCTAGTGGTATGACGTTTCCTTAGCATGCTTCAGAGCATGGAAAAGGTTCTGGGTTCGATTCCCAGCTTCTCCACATATCTTTTTGGGTCCCCCTGCGGGGCCTGCCTGAGCCACCTGACTATCAAGCTCCCTTCACTTTTGCTCGCACCGACAGCCGGGCTGGGGAGGTTTACTTTTGAAAGAATAGGCTTTCTTGGCCACGGGGCCAACTTCATGTTTGCATTATTCGCATTCAGGGAGGCGACACTTGTACGCAGCCGGGTGGCTTGCCAGTCTCTATTTAATGAATTTTCACAGCATATGGACTTTTGATCTAGTCTCAAAGTCCCAATGGATGATTCTATTGTTCGCTATGTAGCTCCCGTCTATCTGGACGACGCGGAAAAAGAAAGCACGTCTCGTCCATTGCAGTTACTGATTTATGTGTGCTGATGTAGCCCGCCTTTGCCAACTCCAAAACGAAAACAGAAACGCAGGGTATTTCCTCATTTATCATGTCGAGTCTTAACGCCTAAACCAAAAGGAAGTCCACTTGGATGCCAAAGGCCCCCCGCTGTATATGTGTATGTACTGTGCTGATCGTATCTGTTTCTCACCAAGGAAGGGAAGTGCGGACAAGAAACATAGGGGTTGCCGGCAAGGGGGAAGTGAATAGGCGTCCCCCGCTCTACAGCTTGGACCTCACGGCCTCTAGACGGAACTTGATGTCCTTGAGGGCCTTGGTGACGGGCTTCCAATCGTCGAACTGTTTGAGCAGCTCGGCCGTCTCGGCCGACAGCTCCGTCTTGACAAAGTCCTCCTCGAGCAGGCCGCGCATGATCCAGGGGAGGACGTAGGGGTTGGGGTTGGTCAACCCCTCGTGCTTGTCGATGCGGCACGGGACATTGTTGACCACCGTCGTCTCAAGTGCGTGCGAGACGGCCAAGCTAGAAACAGAGCGGTTAGCACTTCGGGTTTTGTAAGAGGGTAGCCGAGGAAGGAAAATGAGAAGAAGTGATGCGTGACGGAGGTTACTCACTCGTAGACGGAGTCGTCGTCATAAAGACGCGAATGCCCCTCTCCTGAATACAAACTCCCGGCAAGGGCAACAGAAAGCTCGCGAATAAGCCCCTGGTCGGATATACCCATGTTGCGAAGCTTCAGCGCAAAACCGACCAGGTGAGCGATAAAGTCGGGAGCATGGATCCGGCCATCGACGAATACGGCTCGGTAGATGTACGGATGTGACGCAGGCGAGTAAATTGCAGACTCCATGGGCACCAGTTGGTCATCGATGCTTCCGATATAAGTCACCCGCGCGCCGTGGTCTAAGACGGTCTTGATAGAGTGCTCGAGACGCTGTGAGATATCGCTCTGTGGATCCGCGAACTGCCAAAGCTCGGCTGCCGAACCCATGAGCATCCCCATGCCCGATTTGTAGTCCGGAAACGGGCCAAGGGACACGCCCGCCATTGCGCAAACCCCAATCCTGGCCGTTGTGATGATGCCGAGGTCGATCAGCTTCGCGACCAGCATCAGTCCTACCGGGACACCCTGTGAATGACAGGCAACGAGGATCAAGTCGGCACTCCGGATATGCTCTATCCAGTTGAGCAGCAGCTTCCACAAATTGTCGACACGGTCGGCAATCTTGCCTTCGCCCTCGAGGGCCACCTTCTCGATTTCGCAATCCTCACAGCCATGGCTATCGGCCCATCGCCTTATCGCTTCGGCGCAGTGGTTGGCAAACCGAAGAGAAGTTCCAGTCGGCTGCCCAATCATGGGACGCAGATACGTTGCTGGAAATAGCCCGTGGACCCCGATTGCGATGGCCTTCTTGATTTTTGGGGGCTCCTTGACTAAGAAAACATGATTCGCGGGCGGCTGTTGCGTTCTAAGCAACAGTTGTGCAATCTGTTTGATGATGGACGGGTTCTGTTTCATACGATAGGTGTTGTGAAATGATGGCAGAAGCAAGTTTGGCGGGGCTGCTTTGACAGATCCTGGTGTTTCTGGTTTTGAAACGGCAGTCTTGTTGACGGGCGTCGTTGGCCTAGACGACTCATCCAGATCCAAAGACTGAGGCCTTACCCTCTTCTTGTTCTTGGATGAGGCGGCCTTGGTCGGCGACTCCTTCACGGCCTTCTTCAGAGGCGGCTCTTTCACTACGGCCGAAGCGTCGTCTTTCACGTCGATACCGATGGATCGTCGTGGGCTAGCCTCTGACCCCTCACCCATGACGGCGAGTTCACCCTGTTCGGGCGGAGACTTGGTCTTGCCCGACTTGGAACCTGTATCACGGGACCAGAATGCCCAGGTTGAACCAGCCGACGGCTGACTCTCCATGGCCGGGGGCGGCGCGGCAGCATCCTCCATAACCACATCCTCGCTCTCTTTCGCGGAAGGCGGCTCGTCAACCGAGGGTGCTGGTGGCTCTTTATGCGTGCTGTCGGGCGGTGCGGGAGTGTTCCACCAGCTACCTAACCACGAGCTTGTGGGTCTCGGGGTCTTTGGGGTCTCTGGTCGTGGCGGCTCGTCCTCGCTTGCTGGTTTTGGGTTGGATTCCGTCGGCTCAGATTCGGACTCCTTGGGAGCATCTGGCATGGGGTCATCCTGGTCGGCGGGTGGCTTTTGTGTGTTCTCTGCCGATGGCGCGCCAAACCATCCCCCGAACCAACTTGAAGCAGTCGAAGGTCGCAGGGCCGCGCCCGGCGAAGTGGGTTGCTGCGCCTGGGGTTCTTTCGGCGTGTCCTCCTGCCGAACCGGCGCACTGGAGGCAGTTGATGCCTTTCTCAAGCCCTTCCCGTTCTTTGTGTCTTTTGCCAGTACCACTCCATCCTCCTTGCCCGGTTTGGCAGATGATTTCGAGTTGGTGTCGTCTTCGGGGATCTGGGGCATTGTCCGTATGGACTGGGCATCGGAGTCGGCCGATGGGTCCGGATTCCTCTTTGACTCGAAGCGGGCGAAATCTGGCGTGGAGCCGGCTCTCATGCTGCCGCCCATGATTGTCTCTCGCGCAACTTGAGTCGACGCCGAGGACTTTCTCCCTAGCGAGCCATACCAGGAGGTGGACTTGCGAAGCTGGCGACAAAACCGGTTAGGAACATGGAACAGCGCGGATCACCCACTTCTCTCTCCCCCCGGCTAATAATGGCATGACGTACCTGCTTCGCGGGGGTCTTTGGTTGTTGTGCGTTGGACTGGGCCGTCTTTGTCGTCGTCGTCGTCGTTGTCGTTGTCGTTGTCGGCGGCGGGGGCAGAGGGTCCTTGGACGAGGAAGACGACGAAGCGGACGCAGCCGACGTCTCGCCCGAGGCGGTGGCCAGGCTTCGGCCGATGCTGGGGAGGCTGGGCTGCGACTTCAGGGTTGCGGGCAGGCTGGCGGTGCTGCCGGTGGCGGGTCCGGAGGGGTTTGGGCGTGCTCGCTTCCTCGGGCTCATGGCAAAGAAGGTTGAGGGGCGGTCAGGCATTTGCGCATGCTGCAACAGGAGTGTTGCGCTGGCAAAAGACGAGATGGCCGACCTGCTGCCTGAATCGTACTACTGAGTAGTCCAGGAGGGCGGGATTGTTTGGGTTGGCCTCGGGTCGGGTGTGTTCAAGGTTGAGATGACGTCTCAGCGGTCACAAGCGGGCAGGACGCAGCGCGGGCCACCCACTGACACCCGTGGACCTCGCTTGCTCGCCAGTAGAGCTCGCCCGTAACCTGCTAGTAACCAGGCCAGCCCGCTGAGGGACGGCTGACCTTGCTCCCGGCGGCGAACCCTGCAGCAAGGAGCCCCTCACTAAGCCCACTAAAGAAACGATGCCCAGCGGCCGTGGTTGGCTTCTAACCGTCTGCTGGAGTACCCTGACCATGGTTATGGTTGCATGGGGCCGGCACGCCAAGCCTCGGATTGGAAGCCAGTGTCTCCAGCCCACTAAAAAGTCCCGCCTTATCTTATCGTGAATTTTTCTCTGCATCCCTCCCGTCCATCCCATCTGCCTCGCATTGGATCTGGGAAATTTTGGAGTCCCTCTGCTCCAGTCCAGACCAGACCAGACCAGAGCGCCCTTCCCACGAGCCTCGCACCCGAGATGAGCTCGCTCAAGAGAAAGGACGCCCCTGGTGGTGGCTCCTCGGCGGCCAAAGCCGCCAAGACACACAGCGCCTCGCGGCCCTCCAAGTCCTCGACCGCAAAGCCCGACAAGTCCTCCTCCAAGACCGACTCCAAGCCGTCCTCCAAACCCGCCACCGCTCCCGCCCTCTCGCGCCTCAAGGAGGAGGAGCCCCTGTTTCCCCGAGGCGGCGGCAGCGTGCTGTCCCCCCTGGAGCACAAGCAGATCCAGATCCAGGCCAAGCAGGATGTGCTGTTCGAGCAAGCCTCGGGCCAGCACAAACCCGACCGCGCCGTCAAGAAGAAGAAGTCCAAGGGACAGCTCAAGGACGACAAGGCCGGCGCCGCCCAGGAAGACACGGCCAAGATCGAGAGTCTGAACTACAAGCGCCTGGTCAAGGGCTCTCTGGTTCTGGCTCAGGTCTCCGAGATCAACCTCCTGGACCTCGCCTTGGCGCTCCCCAACAACCTCGTTGGCCATGTGCCAATCACCGCCATCTCCGACGCTCTGAATGACCGTATCGCCGCCGAAGCTGCCGCCGACGACGATGACCAAGGCGACGAGACCGCCCGAGACGACGTCGACCTCAAGTCGCTGTTCACCGTCGGCCAGTACCTTCGCGCCTATGTTACATCTACCCTGGAAGAATCCACTGAGCTGTCAGGGAAGCCCAAAAAGCGCATTGAACTGTCCTTGCGCTCTGAGCAGGCCAACAGCGGCCTGTCTAGCAGGGACATCGCCGCCAACACCACCGTCATGGCAACTGTTGTCAGTGTCGAAGACCACGGTTTCGTCATGGAAGTTGGCCTCGAGGACTCCAAGCTCAAGGGCTTCCTCCCTCGCAAGGAGCTTGACCCCTCCATCTCCGAGGAGAGGATGCAGCCCGGTGCCGTTCTCCTGTGTCTGGTCGCCAGTGCCAAGCCAAGCGGAAAGATTGCCCAGCTCACTACCATTCAGAGCAAGATTGGGAAGATTCAGAACTACGCGTCGGATGCCACAACCATCAACGCCTTCCTGCCTGGTTCTGCCGTCGAACTGTTGGTCTCGGACATTTCAGCACGCGGCATCGCCGGCAAGGTCATGGGCTCGCTCGATGTCATCGCCGACGTGATTCACTCCGGCGCTGGCCCTCAGGCGATTGACCTGGAAACCAAGTTCAAAGTGGGCAAGAAGGTCAAGGCCCGCGTTATTTGTAACTTCCCGACGTCGGATGACCCCAAGCTCGGCGTCTCGTTCCTCGACCACCTCGTCAACCTGCGGTCCAAAGAGACTGAAGGTCCCAACAAGTTACCCCTGAAGTCGCTGCCAATATCGAGCATAGTCGAGAAGTGCACAGTCACCAAGGTTGAACCCGACATCGGCGTCTTTGTCGAAATCGGTGTCAAGGGAGTGTCTGGTTTCGTTCATATCTCCCGCCTCAAGGACGGCAAGGTCGATATGATCTCGGCGTCGTCTGGCCCATTCCAGGTGGGTACAGTCCACCGCGGAAGGGTTGTGGGCTACAACCCCATGGATGCTCTGTTCCAACTTTCCTTTGAAAAGCACATCCTCGATCAGCCTTTCCTCCGGATAGAGGATATTCCTATTGGCCAAGTTGTAAATGGTACCATCGAGAAGCTTGTCATCGGCCAAGATGGAATCAATGGCCTCCTGGTTAAACTCGCCGAGGGCATCACTGGGTTCGTTCCTGAAATACATCTAGCCGACGTCAAGTTGCAGCATCCCGAGAAGAAGTTCAAGGAGGGCTTGAAGGTCAGAGCCCGCGTGATTTCTACCGACCCTCTCAAACGCCAGGTTCGACTCACGTTGAAGAAGACCCTCCTCAACTCTGAGGCGGTTCCCCTCCAGTCATTCGACCAGCTAGTCGTAGGCCTGCAGGTTCCGGCCACCATCATCAGCATCGTGGCAAATGGTGCCATCGTGCAGTTCTACGGCTCGCTAAGAGGTTTCCTCCCCGTCTCGGAGATGAGTGAAGCATACATCCATGATCCCAAGGAGTTTTTCCGCGTTGGTCAGGTAGTGGATGTTCACGTGCTTAACTTCGATGCCGAAGCTCAGAAGCTCTATGTGTCCTGCAAGGATCCGTCTGCTTTCGGATTGGAGAAGCAAAAAGCACTTCAGACGCTCAAACTGGGAGAAGTGGTGTCAGCCAAGGTTATTCAAAAGACCGACGACCATGTTTTCGTGGAGCTCGTGGGCTCTTTGCTTCGCGCTATGCTTTCTATTGGCCATCTTACCGATGGATCCATCAAGAAGAACCAGGCGGCGATGAAGAAGATTCATGTTGGCCAGACCCTCACAGACCTTGTGGTCCTGGACAAGAACGAGGGACGACGATCCATCGCCTTGACCAAGAAGCCGAGCCTACTCAAGGCTAGCCAAGAAAGCAAGCTGTTGACGACATTTGAAGATGCCAAGGTCGGCGAGCTCTACCAAGGTTTCGTGAGAAACATCACACTCACTGCTGTCTTCGTCCAATTTGCCGGCCAATTGACTGCCTTGCTTCCCAAGGCGAGACTGCCGCAAGATGTGCAAAAGCAAACCAACTTCGGCATGGATAGGAGCCAGTCTCTGGTTGTGAGAGTCGTGTCCGTGGACGCAAGCCACAACAGAATCGTTGTCTCTCACCCGTCCTCTGATAAGCAAGACCAGCCCGAAGACAGCAAGCGCTCAAGCGAAACCGGCATCAAGGCCGAGAACCCCGTCGATGAGGCCATCGTTAGCCTTGATGACATCTCTGTCGGCAAAGTGACCAAGGCTCGAGTGGCCTCCGTGAAGAACTCACAGCTGAACGTGAGGCTCGCAGACAATCTCCAGGGCCGCGTAGATGTGTCTCAAGTCTTCAACTCCTGGGACGATATCGAGAATACAAAACAACCCCTCAAGAAGTTCTCGCAAGGAGATGTCATACCTGTGCGAATTCTTGGAGTACACGATGCAAAGAACCACAGGTTCTTGCCAATCTCCCATCGTTCTACGCATTCCGTCTTCGAGCTCTCTGCCAAGCCTAGCGATGTCAACGGCAAAGCCCCTTCGTCGTTGTCTTACGAGAAGCTCAAGGTCGGGTCTAGTCACGTGGCATTCGTCAATAATGTACAAGAAAGCTCCCTGTGGGTGAACCTTTCCCCCAACGTCAGGGGCAGAATCAATGCTCTTGAGGTTTCTGATGATGTCTCGCTCCTTGAGAACATGGCAGCAAACTTCCCAGTCGGTTCTGCCCTCCGTGTACGAGTACTCTCGGTTGATCCCGCGCAAGGCCGCCTTGATCTCTCTGCACGGTCTGCAGCCTCCACCAGTGAGCTAAGCTGGGACACCATCAAGCAGAACATGGTACTTCCTGGAAGAATAACAAAGATCAACGAGCGCCAGATCATGGTTCAGCTGAGCAATGCAGTATCCGGCCCGATTCACTTGACGGACATCAGTGATGATTACGACGAGGCTGGTACAACCGCCCACGCAAAGAACAGTGTAATCAGAGTCTCCGTTGTTGATGTTGACAAGAGCAACAAGAAACTCCGGCTCTCGTCCCGCCACTCCAGGGTCCTTAACTCATCCGCAAAGGTCAAGGATCGGGAAATCACCAAGGTCTCGCAACTCAACGCTGGCGACGTCATCAGGGGGTTTGTCAAGCACGTCTCAGACAAGGGTGTTTTTGTAGCGCTCGGTGGCGATGTCTCGGCTATGGTCAAGATCTCCGATCTCTCGGACAGATTCTTGAAAGAATGGAAAGATTCCTTCCAGATCGATCAGCTCGTGAAGGGTCGCGTCCTCTCGGTAGACCCGACATCGGGTCATGTTCAGTTGAGTCTGAAGGCGTCGGTAGTGGAGAAGGACTTCGTGCCGCTGCTGAACTACTCGAATTTCCGCGAGGGTCAGATCATTACCGGAAAAGTTCGCAAGGTCGAGGATTTTGGTGCTTTCATTCTCGTCGATGGCACATCCAACGTCAGCGGTCTGTGCCACAGAAGTGAAATGGCCGAGAAGTCCGTGGAAGATGCTCGCAAGCTGTTCACCGAGGGAGACGCTGTCAAGGCCATCATTCTCAAGCTGGACGTCCAGAAGAAGCGCATCAACTTTGGCCTCAAGCCCTCGTACTTCGAAGATGAAGATAGTGACATGAGTGACAGCGATGACGCCGGTGCTGCACTGCTTTCTGACGATGATGAGGATGAGGAGATGGACGATGCTGCAAGCGGTGTTCTTATTACGGGCACTGACAACGTATCTGATGAAGACGATTCGGATGATGATGAGGAGGAAGACGAGGATGTTGAAATGTCAGATGGAGCTGGCGACGAAGTGGAAGGACTCGACGCCGGCGGTTTCGACTGGGACACCAACGCCCTGAACAAGGCAGATGGCGCTGCTGAGAAGGGAGATGCCGAGAGTACACAGGACAAGAAGAAGAAGCGCAAGAAGGCTCAACCTGAGGTTGACCACAGCGGTGATCTCGACGCATTTGGCCCACGTACTGCGGCCGACTACGAGCAGCTTCTCAACCGCAAGCCCAACTCCTCTGCCCTATGGATAGAGTACATGGCGTATCAGATGCAGTCAAGCGAGCTCGCCGGCGCTCGTCGGGTCGCCGAGCGTGCCATTAGCACCATCAACAGCTCCGAGGAGACCGAGAAGCTCAACGCCTGGATCGCCTACCTCAATCTCGAGGTCCGCTTCGGTACCGAGGAGACGGTCGACGAGGTGTTCAAGCGCGCGCTGCAGGTCAACGACCAGCAAGAAGTCTATCAGCGCGTGGCAAGTATCTACGTCCAGGAGGACAAGTCCGACGTAAGTCAACACAGTCCCGGATACCCCCCCACAAGCCCTTCATATTGTGCACAGTGCTGACGCGGACCGCCCCTATTACAGAAAGCCGATGAGCTGTTCCAGACGCTCGTCAAGAAGTTCGGTGCCACCTCCCCCGAGGTCTGGGTCAACTACGGCCACTGGCTGCACTCGGTGCAGGACCAGCCGGAGCGGGCGCGGGCGCTGATCCCGCGGGCGACGCAGGCGCTGCCGCAGCACGCGCACCTGCCGCTCATCACCAAGTTCGCCGCCATGCAGTTCACGTCGGCGCACCCGAACCCGGAGCTGGGCCGCACCATGTTCGAGAGCCTGCTGGCCTCGTTCCCCAAGCGCTTCGACCTGTGGAACCAGCTGCTCGACCACGAGGACGTGCCGGGCGCCGACCGCGCCGCCGTCCGCGACATCTTCGAGCGCGCCCTCCGCTCCCGCGCCCTCAAGCCCCGCACCGCCAAGAAGTGGTTCAAGCGCTGGGCCGACTGGGAGGAGCGCCACGGCGACGCGAAGAGCCGCGAGCGCGTCTCGGCCAAGGCTGCCGAGTGGGTGCGCCAGCGCGACGAGGCCAAGCGGTCCAAGGGCGGCGACGAGGCCGACGAGGACGAGGATTGAGGGGGGAAATCAAGAACAGAAACGAAAGCTCATTTTGCGGACCAGATCACTTGAGTAGAAGAAAAGGGGCAACGAGGTGAAGGGGATGCGGAGGAGAAGTTGCTGCTGATACTGCTACTCAAGACTAGAGCAAGGCAAGGAAGAGAGGAAGATATAGCCTCGCGTATGAGAGTAGAAGGCCCCTGAATCCCACAGGGTTAAAAATAGCGGGTATAGAATTTTTTTTATTATGCATTCCTGGCGTTGCGGATACCAAAAATTCAAGAAAATTCGGTTCATTATCTCTAGAGCGGCTACGTGCTACCTTGTCTTATTGGTTGTGGAACGGAACTCCTTCGGTGAACTAGACAAGAGTTGTCTAGGTAGATCGATGGCTTCATCGCCATGGCCAGAGGACTACGCGAAACTGCCTTTTATACGATTAAGCCCATGGAGGGAGCGAGGGGCGCTTGTTGACTCAGGAACAAAATTGGGGGTTGGGGGTTTACGGGCCAAAAGCAAATAGGAGCAATAAAGAAGTAGTAGTAGTTGGGCGAGGCACTTGTGCCCCTGAAAGCTAGATTTATTAATCGGCAAGTCGCTACATACATCTCTGGGCCCGCGTTCGTTTCTATGTCAACCAAGCCCTAGTCCACTTAGATCGGAATGGTAGCTCCTCAGAAGCCGGCGCCGTTGGTGTTTGTCTTTGGAAGGGCCTGCCGCGCCGAATCGGCATGAATCGGGTCCAAAAGACATTCCTCAACAGTCCATGAAGAAGACGCCAGTTAATGCCGGCCTGGTTGGGTCATGGGGTGTGATCTTGCCCACACATGGCAACGTATAGTTGGCATATCTATCCCTCTTCCTTTTTCTTTTTTTTTCCTTTCCAGTCCTTCGGATTTATTCTCCTTTGGGCGGTGTGTTTGTCCTGGCAACTGCACTCAATCTTAGGGGTATCATTTTCTTCCTTTTTCATCACCTTTTCCGGGGAGTTCAGGTTGCTTTGGAACCTGTGCAAAATTATTTGGGGCCGACCTTTGGCTGCTGTTTCATTTGTTCGTTGGGCGTATGAACAACCTCGTGAGAATCGCCAGGGTGACCCAAGGATCGGTCACGTAAACTTGCATGGTCATATAGAACACGCGTTGCGTGCTCCAATTGCCCACTGCCACATGATTAGCACGTGCTACTGCCAGGCAACGACATGTCGACTATCATCTCCAGATACCAGCTTGGTAATTTGGCAAATACATCCGGGTATAGCTTGTAACTAGGCCGCAGCTCGTACAGGCACGCAGGAGAGCTGGGTCGACTTCAGCCTACCGCAGCGGGTTGCGGGCGTTTCGCCGGCGGGTGTTGTCCCTACACAATGGTTAGCAGTTCTCCAGTTACCGGGGATCGTGACTTGTGTCGGTTATCGCAGTTAGCAATCCACCATTCGACCCTACATACATCTGACGGGGCAGGGCGCTTTGTGCCGTTAGGAGCGCTTGGCTTCTTAAGCGGACGCGTGGGCTTGACCTCGCCGGGTTCGAAGACGTCTTCGGGTAGGTTGATGCTTCACTCTTCTCAGCACCAAATTCTTGACTTGTAGATGTGAGGGGACAACTCACTTTCGAACGTGCTGAACGCTCAAGAAGTTCAGATCGGCCTTATACTTGTCCCAGCCATGGCAGAGGTCCTTAAACTCATTCACCTGATAGGACAAATCCAAGGATTTGGCACCTGGACGGTCAGCACCGGCTGCTGCGAGGAAACAGATTCGGCTCTTGCAGCATCGTGGAAGCCTAGTATTAACCAGTGCCGAAGCGTGAGAACCGAATGTCTGGGGGCCGGATCACGTACCTTCTGCCAGTTCCAGGCCAATGTAATGGGTTGTCGTAAAAAGCTTACTGTCCTGCTCCTCGGCCTTGGCGGCCGCCGGTTTCCCATTTGGACTTTGCGGCCCTGCTTCAACGCCATTCTCAGGTTTCGAAAGCAAGGCCTCAGCGTCCTCCTGGACTTCTGTCTTGACATCGTCCTTGGCTTCATCCTCTTCCTTGATGAGATATGCCATCTTGCCATCAAGGACCGCGTCAAACTGGACCTGGTCCTTCACTCGATGGAGACGTTCGAAGCCCTTATTGAAGGGATGCGCAATGGAGATCGAAGGATGGCGCTCTAGATTAGAAACCAAGACTCTCACCTTGGATTCTACGAACCCAGACCATATCTTGTGAGCCTCCTTCTCCTTGGAGGCAACAATGACAGCAAGGTAGTACTTGTAGCCCTTGGTGAAGAAGGTATGCTTGACAAAGAGGTCCTTCCATGCAAGCGCATTGGTCATGATCTTTTCCGCTATCTGACCGGCCCGCTCCAGCTCCCGCTGGATGACGGCCTTATTCGAGTGTGTGATGTTGAACGTTGCGCACATCTGGGGATAGGCTGGAGTGATGACAGGCATCAGATGAAAGCTGTCACCCTTGTAGATCTGACGGGTACAGAATAAGCGTGGATTTCAATATTAGCGGGAGAAGGAGTTGCCTACCTTGGGATTCCACACGCGTACGTTGAGAGGGCCGTCCTCCATTGGCTTGAGCATGACAGGCTGTGGCCATGGCCATCGCTGGATGATCTGGAAGAACTTGGCGACTATCGTGGCCGCGGCAGCCTTGGGGTATAGCTGGCACACGCGAGCGGTAAGCATCGCCCACACCACACCTCCGGGGAATCCGATGATGTTGGCGTAGATGGCACGACGCTGGGCCCACAGCTTGATGGCACGCAACGCCAGACGGAAGGTGGCCTGCTCTGGTACGAGAGTCAGGATCTCGTTAGTGACTCGGGTGCCGTTGACGGAACGCAGCTCAGCCTCGTCAAGGCCGCGAAGGTATTTGTTCTCCGTAAGGTACAACTCCTTGTGCGGGGGGAACTGGGTGAGCGTCGCGATGCGGGCAAAGATCAGATCAATGCTGATGCCCCAGTACTCGAATTTGATAATGGGCACGAATGCGTCCTCGACGGGCGTCAGATCGGTAATGGCGCCTTCGGGGGCCATCTCCTCGAGCAGGCCGGGGAAATGCTCGAAGTAGTGTACTCGCGTAACGTATCTCGGGGCGCAGACGAGCGTGTCTATGTCGGAACCAGGACCGAAGACACCAAGGCAGAAACTACCATAGGTGAAGACCTCGCCCCGCGCCTCGCGGATGAGGGTGGCATTGTGTGGTTCCTTCTCCTTGGCGATGCGGCGCACGAACTCGTCGACTATGCGCTGCAGGTCGGCCAAGACCTCGTGCCTAGATAGATGGCAGTATCAGCTTCGGCGCCCATGGCTATGGCTATGGCCATGGCCATGCGGTTCAGGTCGCGTCGAGTCTCACCTCTTGTCTGTCTCGGGCTTTGTTTCGAACGTGTTCTGAGCCTTGAGCTCCTCGAGGAGAGTGTTGGTCGCCTGGTTCTCGGCCGGGGTAGGAAGCGCCGTGGAGATGGGAGGCGTGACGCCCCAGGTCTTGTCGGTATTGGACATGGTGTGTTCGGATGTCTGTGAGCTACGATTTGCGTCCAGCGGGGATTTCGAGGAAAGTGTTTTGCAACTCTCGAATACCGTTGAGATGTCAAATGGCCGCCAGCCCGTGGTAGAATATCAAACCGAGCTGGGCGACGGGACGGGGGAGAAAAAAAGTGAAAGGGAATGGAGCACAGGGAAGGTGCCGGACGGGATACGCTCAAGTCTGTCGCGACTGGGCAGGGTGCGCAGTGAGAGGAAGGAGGGGAGAGAAGAGGAAAGGAAAGGAAGGTAAGGATGGTCCGCAAGCTCCAGCCCGTTTGCTCGTGGGCGAGGATGGGAGGGTAGGATAGGAGAAAGTAGGACGGCGGAGGAGGAGGAGGAGGACGACGATGATGATGATGATGCAGGTGAGACCGAGACTGAGTCGAGGTCCCGGCAGCAGAAGCTCTAGCCCGCCGGCGACGCCCACGGCCCATTGGCATCACAGTGATGAGTTAGCATCCTGGTAGCCAGGTAGAGATTTTAGCGCGCGTTTAGCGGGCCTCAGGAACAAGGTCCTTTGCGCCCGTGCACTACTGCTACAGGCTACAGGCATCTAACTTAAGTTACTGGAGAGTAGTAGAGATAGATACCTTGCCCACCGAGTCTACCCAAGCATCTACTTATTCTATGGTGGCATGGTAGGTAGTCTATGTGTACCTGCTTACAACGACCGCTTGATGGGGCACCGACGGGATAGGCCCGACCGTGTATAGACAGCTTCTCTCGGTATATATTCAAATTGCAGCTCAGTGGTTTCTCTTACAGCCCGTGGGACTTGACAACACCTTGTAGCCCCAAGTCGAACAAGACTTTTCATTCACGCGCTCAACGACTCAACCCCTTTCATTCACTTCCGTCATGATCAACAAGTAAACACATCGATTTCCCACAATAGGCCATGAAATATGTCTAGACCTCATACAACGCAAAAGATGCCGCCAGAAACACCACACGCCGTAGACTTAGATTTTTGCTTTGCCCGAGGCCCCGTGCCTCCGGCCCAGCAACCCTCGCACCAGACCATGCCCCTTGGTATTCGTGACATACATGTAATAGTACACACATGGTCAGTTAGCATCTCGAACGCCGGTCCCGCCGCCACCCTTTGAGTGTACACGCGCTCATATGCAAGTCCGCCTTGAGTAATGCCCTTCTCCTGCCTTCCCCGTATCTTGGACCCTATCCATCCTTCCTGGCCGAGCTTCGGTCAGCCCCTGTGGGCGATACTCCACCCGGTATCCAACACGGAAATATTCACACGTCACTGTCCGTACCGCTAAATCGAAAATTGGTGTGTTGTCGACATGGCCTTCCCTATATCTGCAGGGTCGCTGATGCTCCTTTGGCGTTCAGTGCGCCCTTCGTCGCCCGAACTGTTCTCTACTTCTTCGTCGCCACTGTCATCCCCGTAGACGATATGTCTCAGGACGTTCTTGTCAAACAGCTCAATGATCATGTGCCGGTCGCCGAGCCGGAAATGATGGTTCTCCAGAAGCGACAAGACTTGTCGGAAGAGCTTGGCCTGTCGGAACCCCGCCACCTTCTTGTACCTCATCTGGAGCATTTCCATCTTGGCTTTCTTGTAGAGCACCATGTCGCCCAGCTCGATCATGATCTCCAGAATGCGTTGATTAGTCGGATCCGGGTCCTTCATGACCGCCGGCGGAGACGCGACGATCGTCTTCTGAGTGTCCGGCAGTGAAATAGAAGTCGACGACTCGTGCTTCCACGGCTGGAACGAGAAGAACCTCGACAGACTCGAGGGCAGACTGAACCCTAGCGACGTTCCGAGGGGTGTCGTGCTCGAATCCCAACCATGCTCCGACAGTATTTCGAGGCCGTGTACCGACCTCGAAATTAGGCCAAGGACGAAGAAAGCCGTGCCCCTCAGGCTCATCACCTCGTGGGTTTCGGCAATCTTCACAATGTGCTCTACAACATCCGTCGATTCGAGGAACGGCGCACCGAGTTCCATCGAACCAACGTTGCCAACAGCCCACATGCACCCTTTCACCTTGGTCATAAGCTCGGTGTCATCAGACTGCATCCCGTACTCGCGGATCGTGGACGAGAACTCCTCAAAATGACCCTTGTCCTCGAGCAACCGGCACCCTTCCTTGGTGCGTGTCAGCTCGCGGTAGAAATGGGGTGGCACGTGGTTGTATTGGTCTGCATCCAGTTCGTCCTGGTACATGCTCAGGCGGTTGGAGTGATCGTCTGGATTCTCGAGGAAAGAGCGCGCAAGACTAGCCTCAATAAGGCTGACGTATCTGTCGTTGCGTCCAAGGAACCAGTCGTCCATTTCGTTGCTGATGTAGTCGAGGCCATCCAGATAGTGGTATCCAATCGAAGTTGACAGGAACCGCAGAAGTAATGGTGCCCCAATCTCTCCCAAATGATCCAGTGCAGGCCGACACTCGACTATGTATTCAAGCAAATGTTTGCTATTGCAGGCCTTCTCCAGGATCTTGACTGCCGTAGCACAGACCTCTATTTCGGGGTCGTATAGCTGTGTCACCAGCAGTTGGATTGCCCACTTGGCGTCCGAGACAATCTGCCCTGCCGGCGCGGCACGCTGACCGGAAGCGTACATCCTGAGTGCGTTTGTGGCATGAATGCGGATGTCCTTGGTGCCCGCTGTCAGAGCCTTGGAGAGTAGGACGCGCGGGTGGCCGTGTAAACTATAGTCGAAGTTGGCAAGGATCAACTTGATCAGATCCGGGCGCTGGTTGAAGTCGACAATGTGGTACATCATATTAAACATGCGCCACCTTTCCATCATCTGCAGACCCTTGGGGTCACCGGTCAGAACACCTAGCATTGGGAAATAGCCTCCGCATAGGAAATCCGCCAGGTTATCCTCGGAAAACAAAGGGCGCTGCGCTGTTAAGCCGCTAGACTACGTAGATAGAAATGTAAGCAGGGGTACCACGAGAAATCCGAGGGGAAGAATTGACTTACGGGGTCACATTGTGCAAGACATTCGGCAATCTGTCTTAGTAGCTTGTGATCCGCCAGATACTTGACTCCCTCTGGGCTTTGCAAGAGCGTATGCATCAGAGCACACCCTACCCTGATGTATTTCTGTGTGTTTCGATGGCTCTTAGTGTTCGAAAACCGATATTTGAAGGGTCGGAAAAAGCTCATGAGTCTTTTGATGAACTTTGATGCTTTGATGGCCTCTTCCAGTCTTTTGCCATTCATGAGGGGGCCTTCGAGGATCCTCAGGATTACATCCCAGTTCCATTTGAGGGGGTTCGAGCTTCCAAGGACACTCGAGTCGATCAAGAGCTGACGGAATGTCGCGTCGTCTGTGATGATTGAGACATTGCTCCGAGGTGTATCGTCAATCGAGCCCACGTTCTCTGTTGTACCGCTCGAGGGCAGGCCCAGTATTGTAGGTGAGGATCGGTAGAGTGTCCGACTCACACTGCTGATCTGGTAAACAACGCCTGTGGCATTGAAGCGTGCGTCTTGATTGAAGTCTAGGGCAGCTGAGAAGAGCTCTGGAAGCAACTGTAGCTCGCTATTCCAGGTTAAAGGAAGCAAACGACCAGAAAGTTTGAGAACCTCGCCGATCAGTAGAGTTGTCTTCCTCTTCAGCGCTGGATTCGAAGAATCTTGAGCAACCTCCAGTAAAGCAGGCATCATATCAGCCTTAACGAAGATAGCTAGCAACAAAGCAGTGTAATGCTCCACGAAGCTCTGTTCAGCGCCATCGTCGTCGTAGGCATTTGCGCCTTTGCCGGCCGTTGTTGATTTCAAAGTTGCGACTCGTCCATAAGTGGTCAGCCGACGTCCCGCCAGGAAGGTTGTAGCCCACGCAGGAGGCTTGATGCGTAGCAATGAATATAGCAGATCGACAATTGTCTCGCGGACGGTGGCATTTGGTAGCGAGAGACTGGAAATCAGCGACTTGACCGCTCTAAAGTCAAACATGGACAGAGTCATGAGGCCAGACCACGATTTGAGGGCTGCGGCGACAGCTTTGGAGTTCTGCTTGAGGACACCTTCGAAGGAAAACAGAGCATCCGTGAAGGCAGTAAAAATGACTTCCAGGTCGTATCCTGCTCTCAAGTATTTTCGGGTCTGAGGTGCGTCTAGCAGAAACAGAAGCGCAGAAGCCAATGACTCTGGTGACTTGTAGGTGCCCTCGGCGAGGGCTTCTGATAAAGGGGCTAAACCACCACAGGAAATCAGGAGAGCCGGATCTCGCAATAGTATCTCAGCCAGCGTCTCGATGCAGATGGGTCGTAGTCGGTCCTCTGCATGTTCAGCAACTGAAACAATGGCCCGAACAACGGCCCGGGATATCTCTCGCGCCCCATCCTTTACGTCGAGGAAAGCGCGGATGAACTTGAGAGCTTGCTCACGCTCCACGTCTGCCTTTCGGTCTTTCGCAAGAGATACTACCACCATGTAGTCTGTGTTCAAGCGGCGAATGTTTTTCAATGACGCAGCATCTGAAATGGCGTACCGTATCATCCGGTAACCAGCTGCAACTACCTCTCTGCTGTCGCTCAGAAGCATCATCTGCATACGATCGCCAAACACGGACCAGACCAAGTCGTACTTGAGAGTAGAATGTTTCTTGAAGAGGTCGACAAGACAATTGGCACGCTCGACGTAGTAGCCAGCAGTTAAACCCTCAGCCTCAAGAGCCTGAAGGATCTCGGCGAGCAAGAACGTGGGCGATTGTTCCGGAAGCTCGTCGATTTCAGATCCGGCACCGCTCCTTGATACACTAGGGGGCGATCGCATCCCATTTCCTTGTACCGCCGTTTCGTTGCGAGTCTTGGTGGGAGTGGCCGGGGTTGTTTTGACTTTCTGCGCATCATCAATCTTCTGACGAAGCTCCCGTATCTTCATATTTGACGAGTACAGTTCGGCTTCGATTCTCTGTCTCTGGTCCTTGGTTTGTTTTGCTTTCTTCACATTGAGGGCTTCCAGCATGTTCTCACTCCCCTCCTTGATCTTCATCTCGCGGCTGAGGGCATCTTTCAACGAGTGGAGGTTCTGTTCCGCCTGAGAACCGCCTTCCTCATCCAGCTTCTCCAGATTGTACAAGTCGGCCCTCGATCCCGCCCTCGAGGCTGTCATCTGGCTTCGTAGTTCCGAGCTGAAGCTCCCCGGGGCCGGAGAGGGGTTGAGGGACAGTCCCCGTGATGCAAAAGACGCGCCCGGGGCCGAAAGGCCCTTGCCCCCATTCGTTGGCGGCGGCTGCAGACCATCTCGTTCGAGGGAGGGACGGCCGGTTGCAATCGAAGAATTGACAGATGCCGAGGCCTGCGGCGCAAGCGACTTTTGAGTCGGTGTCGCGGAGGCGCTTAGCATGGTGGCAGTCCCAACCAAATGTCCACCGTCCGGGACGATTCCCACGAGCGGCTCATTCGATTTACCTTCTCATAGGTAAGATCGCATAGGCGACTTCGGATTGTACGGGTATTCTTTGCTCTGTCCCTATCGCAATAGATACAATTCCGAGGGTTGGACGTTCTCCGGTGATTGTAACAGATCGCTACTGTGGTATGCTGTCGTCGTTGCTCGTCGGGTCGAGGGTACTCCACCACTGATGTCCTATATTCGTTGGATGTCGCGTAGAGATGAGGCTTACGGCTGGCCTTGGAGCTGAGCAAGTGGTCCTCGACAGAGGCTTGTGGTGTTCGAAGAGGTGCAAATTGCGCCGGGAGGTGCCGCAAGCCGGAGGGACAGAAGCAGAAGCAGGTCCGTAGGGCGTTGATAGATGCAGTCGAAGATGCGCAGAACGACAGGTTCCGGTATGAGAGGTAACGAATGATGGACTTGACCACAGTGTTGCCCAGCTTGTATTCTTTCGGGCGGACAAGGTTCGAGGTACGTGACTCGTTTCGTTCCAGCGATCGTGTTTCCTAACCCAGTGTTGGGGGTCGCTACCTAGGTACTTGATATACCCAGGATCATGTGCGGTCGCAGCCTGGGCTATACTCAGCAATGCTCACTGGTGTCACAGACAATCGTGGTCTGGATGCGAACGGTGCTGAGATGTCGCCGAGGCTGTCGTCGTGGTCGCGGGCTAACGTCCAAGGCTGGATGGGGCACCTGGAGATTTAGGTGTATCAGAACGAACGGGATCCTCCCTTAGCGCAAGCGGCTGATGGCTCCGGCCAGTGTCGTCGAAGCCAGTGAGTACTGTAAGGCAGGTAGCGACTCGGCGCAAATCAATAACGGCGGCAGCAGCTAGACACAGCGAGCCTCTGAGCCATGGGCAATGAAGCGGTTACGATCTCGCAAAGATAATGGTATGCTCTAGGCCATGAAGTCCGTCCAAGAACGGGATCCGTGCTCGTTGCCAAGAATAACACGACGACAGGGGGGTAACCCAACCGACTGCGTATGCTGCCGAGTTCGCGGGGCACCAGCACCAGTTCAAGCCAGCCCAACCTCGATTCTGTATGGTCCGTACTGGTGCTTGGGTCAAGTTTATTGAGAGACCCAGCGACTCATGAATGAATTCGGAATCTGCGGGCCCAGCCCAAGGATCACCTGCACTGATGTCTTGTCCTTCTTACACACGTACGTGGTGGGTGGACTGATAACTATGTCGCCGCCGCAATTCTACACTGTCTTTATCTCTTACAACAACAAGTTCTCAACGCTTGCCGACAATATTGCACATCGTCACAGCTCTTCTTAGACCGAGGATGCTACCTATCACAGACCCGTTAGATTTAATCCTACCTCGCTCAGCCAGGTGCTAGCTCTACTGGAAGTGCCCGAAGACGCCTCGACATATGTACTTGGGCTTGAGCTGTCAGGGAATAGACCAGACTTACAGATGGATGCTGCAGCTGGTTGTACGGTGATTTTGATAACCTGCGGGGGCGTGCAATATCATGCAAGGGTACTATAAGAGGCTAGTCGACGGACAAGTCGTACGATAGTCTGTCCCAATGCAGACCTCGTCAGGAAATGTCTATCTATGCATTTGCCATGGCGCTTTGCAAGAGGCACCAGATCTGCCAGGCACGCTGGAGGCACAGATCTAACTTGGAGTGGCTGACCCCGCAATCTGACGTTCGCTGTGACTGTCGTGCCGCCCCGCGTATCGCCGGTATCAGCCCAATGCCAGACCAGAGACAACAATTGAACCACTTCTGCTGGCCATGATTCGCCTGCGCTTCCGTGATCTGTGTTGAGTGGTCATAGGCGACGATAACCTTTTTACATAAGAAATAGCCAGAGCACGTGGCCCCGTCAACAATCGGATTAGTCCTGGAAACCGTCGTATGACAGCCCCAACCTGGACATCCCCGTTCCCTGAGCCGCCCTGTGGGCTGTCGGCGTCCTCCGGACACAGCCAGCGCTGGGCCGCCTCCCTATCCGGAGCCCACTCCCAGCTACTCGGCGCTCTCAGGAGAAGGTTTCGGTGACCAGCGGGCTTTGCTCGCCAACGACCTGCCCATCGAGTTGAATGGCCTTGTTCCTCTGGTAGAACTTAAATATGCCCATGACCTGAAACCATTCAACGGTGATTTTCAACTTCGTCTTCAACTGCCCTAAAGTAGCGCATTCCTAGTGGCCGACTCCTTGAATCACGACTCGTCTCGTTGACATCCATCGCTTCACTTCCTAGACTACAACTCATAGATAAGTGGTCTCTACTGTGCTTACCTTATCGCCAGCTCAGGTCGACTGCTGGCAATCCTTGTCTTCACTTAATAATTTGCCACTACCTCGAGACTCGTTGTTTTAAAGTCGAATCACAATGCCTCGCCTTTCTGCAGCCCGCTACGGCAAGGACAATGTCCGCGTCTTTAAGCGTGAGAAGGACGGCGATGTTGAGACTGTCACGGAGCTGACGGTCTGCTGTCTATTGGAGGGCCAGATAGAGGAGTCCTACACAGTGGCCGACAACAGCCCCGTAGTAGCCACAGACTCGATCAAGAACACGATATTCATCAAGGCCAAGGAGTACCCGGTCAACCCCATAGAGCTTTTTGCCAGCATGCTCGGCCAGCACTTCCTGGACAAGTACCCGCACATCACCGTCGCCAATGTCGACATTATCAAGCACAAGTGGTCGCGCATGGTGGTCGACGGCAAGCCTCACCCCCACAGCTTCCACCGCGACGGCGATGAGAAGAGGACGGTGGAGGCCCGCGTCACGCGGGAGGGCATCGACATCAAGAGCAGCCTGAAGAACCTGCTGGTGCTGAAGAGCACCGGCTCCATGTTCTACGGCTACGTCCAGGACGAGTTCACCACCCTGAAGGAGACCTGGGACCGCATCCTGTCGACGGACGTCGACGCCACCTGGGCGTGGAAGACGTTCCCCAACGTGGCCGCGGTCACGGAGCAGGCTGCTGCTTTCGACAAGGCGTTCGACGACGCCCGCACCATCACCTTCAAGACCTTTGCCGAGGAGAACAGCCCCTCGGTACAGGCCACCATGTACAAGATGTGCGAGCAGATCCTTGACGCCGCCCCTGCAACGGCATCAGTGTCGTATGCTCTGCCGAACAAGCACTACTTTGAAGTTGGTAAGTGAACACGCCCAAACCTGCTGCTTCGTCTGGCCACCGCTTTCCGATGTGCCGTATTGCTAACAGATTATAGACCTGGCATGGCACAAGGGTGTCCAGAACACTGGCAAGGATGCCGAGGTGTACGCTCCTCAATCGGGACCCAACGGTCTCATCAAGTGCGAAGTCACCAGAGACTAATGTATTATGCGTGCAATGAGAGCGATGGGAGTTAACTGATCATTTTTCATCAACAGCATGACTGGTATACGGTGTTGCCGGAGTCGGCACCATTTTGCGCGGCTGCGTGTGGTTTTCGCCAGTCCTTGCTACCGTATCATTTAGAAAGTAGACGGCGCCTTGCTTCAAGGTAGCTCTGAATCAAGATAAGATTACAGCACATGCATGCTCGATCCCTCGTTGTGTGGCTCGCAGAATTCCTTGAAAATGAAAGCTATAATCACTTATCGCTAGGCATGCCAGCACATGTATCCTGCCAACCTTTGTCCGGTGCACCCGCAATCTATGTATACCTCATGCCAGGAACCATCCCTATTCGCGTTCTTCTCATTGTCCGCTAATGGGACTTTAATGACCCCTGATCTTGACCTTGTTTAACGGGCATACCTCCCATTGCCTTTCTTCCCATCAAACAAACCCAAACGGCGACTGGATATAGATATAAGTAGGAAGAGAAGCGTGGCAGGTGGTGAGCGTAGTTGAGTTTAGCTGGCCCATGACTTGGTACAGCTTGTAGCCCATACTTGGTAGCTTATCGTTGGTGCCCTCTAGTTCTAATTGGGATGCGTTCTGACCATGTATTGCAAGTTGTACAAATAAGACAGTGTGCTTTGCCATAAAAATGGCCTCGTTCATATACATCTGTATACAGCTATAAAGTACAATAGAGTGTACAACGCTCGATTTTATTGCAATCAAGCCTCACTCCTCTCAACACCACCGTCAGCCCCGATACCCGAGCCTCAAGACCTATAACTTCTTCATGTCTGCTTCCCTGATGGCCTTGACGGCCTCCTGCCAGCCATCCTGGCCCACCTTGACGCCGCCAAAGTGTATGATGTTCTTCTGGTACGGGTGGGCGTCGCCCTCGAAGGCCTTCATGCGGGCCAGCCTCTTGTCGCGCAGGCGGTTCTTGGGCAGCATGCCGCTGACGGCCTTGCGCAGGACCTCGGCGCCGCCGAACTTGGACATCAGCACGTCCATGGTGACACTCTGCAGGGAGCCGGGCTTGGTGTTGTGGCGGTAGTACGTCTTCTGCCACATCTTGCGGCCGGTGACGTGCAGGGCGGCGCAGTTGGTCACGACGACGTAGTCGCCGCAGTCGGTCGACGGGTTCCAGGTCGGCTTGTGCTTGCCCATCAGGATGGTGGCGATGCGCGAGGCCAGGCGGCCCAGCGACGGCGGGGTGACATTCGGCTGTGTGGAGAGGGTGGGATGCGGCTTCGAGGCCGAGATGTGGTGCCAGACGCGGGTGTAGGAGTGTTTTGTCTGCGGTGCCTTGGTTAGCAGCCCGTGGCAGCGAGGTCCGCAGGGACGGGGCGGCTTACCAGCCCAATGGTTTGTGACATGATGGCGATGGGGAGGGACTTGGTCCCTGGACGAGAAGGTCAACCAGTCTCCGCGGCGCTCGCTTGAGTGGTGGTTCAGCTGGTGCGAGGGCTTCCCGTCTCGATTGTCGGCCTGCCGTTGAGGTGATCCACGATGCTTCGGCACGTTCAGTAGGGGCGCTCGGGGCTTGCTTGGCTGGATGCGCGCGATCCCCAAATTTTCGATAATCGGGTGGTCACGTGGAGATAGGTGCTGCGGTACAGTAGTTGCTGCACTCCGCTGTAACTTGCTGCAACGGCCCGCCAGGATTAACAATTGGAAGCCAGGTTAGCGGAGCTATTAGCGCCTAACCTGACTGCCAGCCAGCACCAGTCCCGCCAGTCCAGTCGCTGCGGCGGAGGCGGCGGAGGCAGCGGCTTCCCCCGGCCGAGTGCGGAAGCGTCTACGCAGAGTGGTGAAAGGCGATTTCAAAGCAACGGACAATTGCCCCATTGGAATTTATCTGGGCGGCCGTCTGGTAGGTGCACGAGATCTGCTTCTCTTCTTCTTCCCTTGTCAAGTAGGACTATGCTAAGGTATTTCCACAATATCTCCTTCCGCTCCGTTGCTGCTACTGCCGGCTCAGCATCTTTGGCACTGTTTACTGCGTCATACTTCCACGCCCTGCACCAAGACTATCGCCGGCGACATTCACTAGCACCACCCGCTACCGTCAAGATGACGGTCAACCAGAAGATCAAGACCCCTTTTCAGGTGTGTCCACCCTCCCGACTGCGCCCCTGCAGCTGGACCTTCTAGAAGTCTGCTCGAACCACTTCGGATGGACGACCTTGGGCTGATGAGGTATCAAACATCAGACGCTCTTCGCGGTGCACATGACATGTGACTCTTGCGTCAAGTCCGTCTCGGACTCTCTGTACAGCCTCGAGGGAATCACCAAGGTTGATGCCAACCTAAAGGACCAGCTAGTTGCCGTAGAAGGCACCGGTAAGGAGATTTGGCTCTGCTGCCTCAATCATGTTGGTGTGGTGTGATAGGAACTTGCAGCTGACCGGCGTGTCCGTTTCTTGTAGCTGCACCTTCGGCCATCGTGGAAGCCATAGAAGCAACTGGCAGAGACGCCATCTTACGCGGATCAGGATCATCAGACAGTAGGTCTTTCTGCATTATCTTCTATGACTCCTCTAGCCGGCTCCCGACCGGCCTTATCCCAGTTGTGGTGTTTCATGCTCATCCAAACCCCCTTCATTTCGAATCCTCTGATTCGGCAGTGGGAACGAACTCAAAGCGATATCTCGCCCGATGGACCCTGGTCTAACTTATGCCTAGGTGCTGCGGTCTGTATCCTAGAGACATACCATGAAAAAGCTGGTGATTCAGCACCGCCCGTTCAAATGCCGGAGTCAGAGGGAGGATTCTGGAAGCAAAGGGAAGTAAGGGGTCTGGTACGCCTGGTCCAGGTCTCGCAGGCCACGACGCTTGTCGACATTACCATGCGTGGCATTGCACCCGGCAGATATCGCGCTTCGATTCGGGAGTACGGAAATTTGAAGGACGGTGCATCCTCTACAGGGCCCGTGTGGGCAGGCGGCAGCGGAACCACTGAACCTCGCGGCTTACTTGGATTGGTCGAGGTGGGAAAGGATGGGCGCGGGTCAGTGTTTCTAGACCATGCATTCCAAGTCTGGGAAATCATAGGTCACGCCATGGTAGTTCATCGAGAGAGCGATGGGGACGGCCCGTTGAAGAACGACGAGAACACCGTTGTGGGCGTCATTGCGAGGAGCGCGGGTATGTGGGATAACGACAAAACGGTGTGTTCGTGCACTGGAAAGACGCTTTGGGAAGAGCGGAAGGACGAGGTCCAGAAGGGCATGATATGATGTTCTGATCATTCCCAGTCATCCTACATCCTATCCATGAATCGATGGCCGTCTACAAGGATTGTCGTCCCAGCATGGTGTGATAAGTTGACAGATAATCGACAAATTGTTCAATCATGCCGCCATCAAGTCGCGGCTCAAGTGCGAACGAATCCAATATGGCTGAGATGATGCGATGTTCACATGTTATATGCAGTATACTCAGCCTCTCAGCTGATTCCTGGAGTAGCGATATGACCGCAGACGCATAACTTAACACGTTGCGGTCATTTGGGACCTGATCCCAACTTGGATGACCTGACGATAGAGCCATCCATCTCCAGTTCCCGCGTGGACGCCGACGGTTTCCACGGAATTCAAAAGCCGATATGGTGATCGAGCCGCCGGTGAGCGTGACGAGGCGGCGCGGTCTGACCACCGCAGGCTGGCCCCTCGTACATGGTAGTCCTCCTTCAGGCACTAAGCCTTATAGCAATACTCGAGTCGGGGTAAAGGGCAAGGAAAGCGGCGCGTCACTGGGTGATAACCAGGCGCGCCAGCCTCGGGGCAAAGTTTACCTGGCGCCATGGTGGTCCGATTCCAAGCAAACCTCGAACGAGACGGGGAGATCTACTATATGTACCTGGGCAATGGGTTCCCCTTCTCCCCCGCGAAAGCACGTTTCCACCCCAGCAAGTCTACCAAACCCAGATCAAGCGCGTCCCGAAGGCTTGGGAACCCCCAATCATTCGATCAAGTGCTGTGCGGCGGGCTAGTGTGGTGTCATGCTGCAAGAATCAGGCCACTTCCACGAGGTGATGCGACGCAGCGACCATGTCGACGGCGGGAGATTTTCCTTTGGGGTGCCCAATGCGGGATTGACAGCCTTCCTTCTATGGGAAGGGCAAAAAAGCTTGGCCCCCAGACTCTTCCACCCATGCGTGCGCGCGTGCAGTGATTGGGTGAGATTTGCTCGCTGAACGTCTATATGCGAACCTATGACTTGGGCGATTATCACTCTATCAAATGGGACGCAGGCGAAGGTGAAGGCGCAACTGTGTGCTGCACATGGGACGAGACCTACAAAACTCGATTGTGGTGTCGTGGTGTCGAGTTGAATGCTCACGAAACATGTTGCATTGAAACCCGTGCAGAATTACGGCAGACCACATCGAGGTCAATGGGATATCCTGGGCTTGCGCAGCACCGAGCCTGAGCTCTAACTACCGTCTATAGCGCACCTGCCACCAAGTATAGCGAGTACGTGCGTAGGTTTAATCTAGTCAGAGACCTAACTCTTCCAGACTGCCAACAAAGCTTGGCCTCAAGTCTCCCGTGTCCTCGGGAAGCAGTACGATTCAGTTTTCGGCTTCCGTCCGAACGCCAAAGTTCAACGGCCGTCATAGCCTTTGTGACCCTGGTACTGGCAATGCTTGATCTGTGCCTGGGCAGGAGTCGAGGCACGCCGAGCAGGAGTCGGGGCCAGGGAAACGTCAAACATCCCAAACAAATCCCCACTCAGCAGCGACCGGATATTCAGAACGCGGGTGGCAGAAAGGCAGATGAGACGGTAGGGAACCCAGTGGCGGATGCAGCCGAGAATCTTAGAATCTTGTTCTCCCAGGCTGTTCAAGATCAGCAGGGGGCAAGTAGCTTGATTCTGCCAAGAGTGATTCAGGTGAATGCCGCCTCTCCATTACAGGCATCACGGTCCGAACACTATAATGAGTACCTATGCGGACCAGGGATTATTCGATAGGAGCCCGCATCACATCTGCCAGAGTTCGTCAGCGGCGTTTTCACATTGTCTCCTTGAGGCTAGTCGACGATGTGCAGGTTTCGATTTTCAAAACACAATGTCGGACGCGCAGAGACGAGGCATCCCTTGTAAGATAGCCGACCAGCGCACAAGATCTCAGGAGGACGTGGACTTCAGTTGAACAAACCATCGACGGCAAGGTTCATGTGTAGATCAAACGTGGGCCTTGACTTCTTCAGTCCAAAGAAGGTTTCACTCCTGGATCATGCAGTCTGTGCCGCAGCCTTACCCGGGGTATTAGGCGGGAATCTGAAAATGGTATATCCCTGTTAACAGCCGTAGCGCCGCGAGCATGTGCTAGACTATTTCCGTCGGGCCACGACTTCTAGATGACTGAGTAGGAAGACAATAAATGCAGTGCGTTGTAGAGATACTGTGTCTTCTCCAGTGACTGTTGAAAGGAACAGCTTTAGGACGGGACTGACAGGATCGTGGCTTACTGGTCGACAACTTCGCCGTGAGTTGGAGGGCCCCCCACCTCTCCAGCGGAACTCCTCAAACTTGCCCCGGACAAGCGAGTTTCGCGGCATGGTTTCGGGCAGGATTCAAGCTCAATGTCGAATTACCAGACGGGAGCATCCCTCACGGCGATCATGACTGCAGCAATATGCCGAGATGGTTGCAGCGCAGTTCGCATTAAGCCCCAGGGTCCTCGAAGGAACGAAGGCGTAATTCTTCGTTAGAGAGTACGACAAGCTGAACGACTGCTTGAGGTAGGGTAGGATGGCTTACGCATCCCCCTGATGTAACTGCCAATATTTCCCTCCTCCAGCTGAAGTGGACATGTACTTTGACTTGAATACTCGTACGTAATCTGCATGCCGAACAGCATCTAGTTGAGGACCTGTGTTCGGATGCCAGATCCACACCATGGCGAAGCCAGTGGCACCAGCTGCCTGTGAGAAAAAAGAACATGGTGCACTTCGGTCAAAGAGATTCGACAAATGCCAAGGTGGTATGCGAAGAACCATAGGAGCGGTGACGGGTCGAAAGGTGATTGCTGTGTAGTTGTAGACCGGACGGAGTAAAGTCCGCCAGGCGCCTATATGCCCTGTCTCCCTTCTACTTTGGGTACTGCCCAGAACACTGAAATGGCCGAGTGGCTAATATGTACACGTCCAGTAGCACTGATTAGTTGTCCAGGGTCAAAAACCGCCATTCTGGATGATGGACAGACTTATGCAACAAAGGTTGCGGGTTGGGAGGCTAGATAGATGGACACTGCAAGTAATTCGATCATAGTGCACCGATAGCCGATCTGCAAGACGATGAACGACTTCTTGGGTTATCACAGCCCTGAAGTGGTGAAATGTCTGTCACAGGGTCTGTGAGTCTGCGAGCCCCGCCGAATAACGTTGTACAGGTTAGGCGCCCAGGGGACCACGTAGCGCCCTATGCCAAGTTACTGCGCCGGGACCCCTGATCCAATCAACAACTAGCTCAAACACCTGGAACACTTGGTGCTTGAGAATGCCGGGGCCTGATTCGCACAGGTTCCAAGCTGCAACCCGGAAGAACGGCCGGATCAAGATCGCGCTGCAAATTACATGGCATGCCGTGGCATGGCATTAGGTCAGGCCAAGACTGGTCATTTTCTAGACCATGGATCGAATGGTTCTCGAAAGCAGGCGCAGTGAGAGTTGAGAGGGAACTGTACTCGCCAACGTGAAGAACTGGCTGGGCCGTAATGGATTGGGAGTCGATGGGACGATTGGGGCCCCCATGGCTTAGCTGGCCATGTGGCCAGAGGACAAGAATTCTGGGATCCCGTCAGCCAGAAACGGCTCTTGGTCAACTCGTCCTGACACAACCAGATCCGCCTCCTGTCACCTTTCTGATATCATCGGCCTAACTAGCGGTCATAGCAAAGTCGGCCCGCCGAGGTCGTGGGGGCGAGGATTCCTGCGCGTGTGTTGGATCCCAATGAAGTGAGAGATTCATCGTGAGCGGTCCTGCTGTACACACCGCTGGGAGATTAGAGTAGACCAAATCGCAAAGACACTATCATATCAGGTGACGGCGAGCGGTAACATGAACCTGTTGGCCATCCTCTGATAGACCACGATCTCAAGACTCCTAAGCGCCAGCCACAACTCCTTCTTTCACAAGTCGAGACGATACAACTGGCTAGGGCCAGCATCTACCCCTGCCCCTGTTCCTTCATTCTCAGCGTCTGCGCACAGGCAGCGCCGCGGCGGTATCGTTTTGCTTGGAGGTGGAAAGGTACTCCCGTACCCACTCATGACTAGCGAGTCCACAGCACACCTGCTAGGCCGGCCACCGCACTGCATACTGCATGATATACGCGGCATGTCCCAGCCCTCGACCAGATTTGCCAGTCTTCTCCGTCCGATGGCCAAGTAATCCCCTGGCAGCTATTGACTGTCCCGTGAACCGCTCGAGTTTCTCTGCGACCTCGTCCACTCTCCAGCACTCTGCAAGCGCTGGCTGGTTCCTCGTCCACTCATTCTCCTTGCCATTGCCTCAGCCCGAGCTGCAATCTAACGATCTCATCACCATCCTAACTCTGTCGGTCCTTTCCGCTACCCATTACAACCATCTAGAGGTCCATGTAATTTCTTGGAATACGGATCTATTGATTTTTCAAGCCGGCAATTACTCCCGGTTGTCTCGTGGCCCTCGTGCACCGTACCTACATACATATCGCCGATATCCCACCAGAGTCCTACCCGGGCCGTTGGGTTAACCCAAGCGCGCGACAGAGTTCCGGACCAACAGTCGCATCCTCTAGACCTGTCGGGACCTGCATCAAACAATCGAGGGCCTCGCCAACAGCATTCGGGCGGGCATTGTGAATTTGCAGAGATTCGACTACAATTACCTGGGACGCCCAAGTCAGCCACTGAGGGCCAAGTCGAGAGCGGGGAAGTCTAGTCTAGCTCACCGTTCAGCGCACAAGAGCCACTCCGAGATCTCGCATGATTGCAAGTGCCTATTAAAGTCGGCCCCCTCCTCTAACCGCCGATCGAGCGTGTTGCCCTACGTGGCGCCTCACTGCTTGCAACGTCGCCCCCTTGTATTGAAAGTCGCAGGGCGACTTCAACCCATTGTAATTTCGAGTCGAGTTCCTGCACGGCGGCGCACTTAGCAACCTCCCTATGCTTGGTACAAGATGTCGTTGAAACAAGTGAGTTATATCAGGTCTGGTACATCATGTTGCGAAAACTAACGACCGTACAGGAAATAGAAAATTGGGTTTCGGCCCTCGGCCACTATGACAACAATGAGTTCGAAGAGGCACTCGGCGACTTCGAGAACATTGCCGATACCTCCAAGATCCTGTTTAATATGGGTGTGATCCATGCCACCTTGGGCGAACATGAAAAGGCTGTAAGTAAAACCAACCTGGTTCGAACAGCTCTCATGGGGACAGCCGACTAACAAGCCACGTAGGTTGAGGCATATCAGCGAGCCATCCGCCTTGACCAGTATCTAGCCGTCGCTTACTTCCAGCAGGGAGTATCGAACTTCTTGCTGGGTGACTTTGAGGAGGCGTTGGCAAACTTCAACGACACCCTACTTTACTTGCGAGGCAACACAATGATCGACTATGCGCAGTTGGGTCTTCTTTTTAAGCTATACTCCTGCGAGGTCTTGTTCAACAGAGGTCTCTGCTACATCTACCTACAGCAGAAGGATGCCGGTCTCCAAGACTTGAACTATGCAGTCAAGGAAAAGGTTGTCGAGGACCACAATGTCATCGATGAGGCTATCAAGGAAGAAGCAGAGGTGAGAAGACTGCCACAAAAGCTATGTCGAGAACCGCACTAACCAACGCAGGGCTACACCGTGTTTTCCATCCCAGTCGGTGTTGTCTATAGACCTAATGAGGCCAAGGTTCGAAACCTGAAGACTAAGGACTACCTGGGCAAGGCTCGCCTCGTAGCAGCCTCGGATCGTGCAAACGCTTTCACGGGCTTTGCAGGCTCGGAGATTAAGAATGCTGGTAGATCAAACGACAAGGACGATCGCCCAACGGACAACATCTCCTTTGCGGCCACTAACCTCGTTAAGCCTGGAATACAGAGTCGCCGACAGCAGTCTGAGCCTCCCACTGGCCGCAACGGTTTCCCGCCCACACCGCCACCGGAGAACGACAAGGCCCCTCAGATGAGCCGCGGTGCTTCTGTGCGAAATGGACCGAAGCCAATGCTGGCCAAGCTCAATATCGAACCTGCCAGGTCGAACAGCTACACGAAGACAAGCTCACCTCAGAATGACCGTGGTGAGAGGAGAGGGCCGGCAAGGGCTCCATCTGATGCAAGATCACCACCACAACGAGGATATTCGCAAAGAGATCAAGGTAGAGCCAGGCGATCCAGGGAAGCCCGGGATGACGATGGCGGCTACCCAGACGATGTCTACGACATGTATAATGGTGGAGGAGATTCGCGGGGGAGTAGACAGCAGGGACGACGAAACCAGCAACGGTACATCGAAGAGGAGGATGAGGGCAGCGATTACGATTCGTTCGACGAGGGTGAATTTGAGATGGTATCCAACCGACGGCCGGGCACTGGATCAGTATCGGGTTCTTCTCGAGGCCAGTCAAGGAGACCGGACGTTCGCAAGGTCCGCGTCAAGGTGCATGCGGACGATGTAAGGTACATCATGCTGGGAACTGCTGTCGAGTTCCCTGATCTGGTGGATCGCGTACGGGACAAGTTTGGTCTACGAAGACGATTCAAGATCAAGGTTCGCGATGAAGACGCTCCGAGCTCGGAAATGATCACGATGGGTGATCAAGATGACCTTGACATGGTCATGATGAGCGTCAAACAGGCTGCACGGAAGCAGAGGCAAGATATTGGCAAGATGGAGGTAAGTTTCCTTCATGCACGTGAATTTGACTTGCGGTGATTAGCTAACACAGGACCTCAGATTTGGATTCAAGAAGTTTAGACATTTTTCCCTTCCTATTATGGCGACCACATACATACAACGATACCCAGCAGCTACAACACGAAGTAACGACCAGAGAAACGCATGTTTTCTTCATCTAGCTTCTCCCAGCTTGTTTTTGCATTTCCACTTTCCTGCCTGCTTTTCCTCGTGCCATTGCGCACACGGCAAGCTGTTGATCCCATCTCTAATTCGTCTGGATCGAAACCCATCGCGTTTCACTTCACCACCACCACCAGGCTCCGCCCTGTCCAAGATCAACTAGCCTGAGTCTGGAACCAGCAAAAGCAACCACCGGAACCAATTCCATATATTCCCATTCATCAGCATATATCCCTAGATTCGGAGAAAAAGGCGAACTGCTGATACAATTGGGGAAAGGAGGCCGCGATGGCTTTTACCCTGACTTTATTCTTTGCTTTGTCTTGTTTCGTCTGAGCTTCTTTCGTGGCACTGCCATTGTAAGATGCAATTCGACGTCTTAATTTTTGATTGAGAGCCAGGTCGCGGCAGTGCCACTGAGAAATGATTGGGGTCACGAGAGGGTCGCCCGTACAGATGATGAGGAGCGTGAAAAAGGTCCGCGATGTGGTCATGGTTCAGTTGGAATACTCTAGTTTTCCTGTTATCTTGTTTAATTGCATGGAGACGGCGCTGGATGAATCTTATACCACACAACCGTCAACAATCGTCGTTGCAACCTGCATCTCGTGCGTGCGTGACAGCCCTGCGCCTACCCTCGTCGTGCTTTTATCTTCCGTGAACACTTTTCTCCTATCATCGGTCCGCTGGGTGTGGACAAGGCCTCAGTCAACCTCAGGATGCCGACCCTTTGGCAAGATTTGTCGCCGAGCCTGCGTATAGCATCAAATCACTCAACATCATCTGATTTAAGCAGATAATCCTGACTGAACACGATAGAAGGCGGTCTTTTATTATAGTCTGCACCTCGCATTGTGACGGCACAAACAGGAGCCCCACCCCCGCTCTACGTGCGCTACCAGACTTAGTCGATAGACGACGAACTCTTCGCTTTAGCAGCACTCTGCGCGACATTTCGAGACAGAAGGTCTTTTGGGCCATACAAGTAGACACGGAGAGGTGAGGCCGCCTTATGTGCAAAGTTATCATCGGTAGAAGCACACGCCATACAACTTACGTTACATTTACTAAGTTTATGCCGAGTATAGGACTAGCAAAGCATACCAGCTTCGGTCTTTTAACGCTCATTTCCATCAGAAAGGATCAAATTATCTGCCAAGATGAGCTCCTCAGACCCTGACAGAAATTCCGACCACCCCAAGCAGGGCAAAATACTTGTCATCGCTGGCTCGGATAGCTCGGGTGGAGCGTAAGCCTTTTCCCTTCACTACTATGCCCCTTGACTCGGATAAACGCCCAAGAGGCTACAATGCGTTAATCTGGCTAATAACACCGCTCCAGTGGATTGGAAGCAGACCAGAAGGTCATTGCTGCTCATGGGTGCTATGCCATGACAGCTACTACGGCCCTGACGGCGCAAAACACCACCGGCGTGGACGATATCCACCATGTTCCCCCGGAGTTCGTGAGAAAGCAAATCGACGCCGTATTCAAGGATATCAAACCCGATGTCGTCAAGACCGGTGAGCTAGGGAAATCATTTTTGATATCGCATTGACTAATGCCTCAATTGCTAGGTATGCTGGCTTCGGCTCCCACTATTGAGATGCTAGCAAAGGCATGCAAAGACCACAAAATCAACAAATTGATACTAGATCCTGTAGGTCAATTCAATCAAATTGATGAAATGAGAAGAGTCATTCCTGTGTCTAACAGCGAGGGTAGGTCATGGTGGCAACGACAGGCGCAGTGCTTCTGCCGCCTGAGGCCGTAAAGGACATGCGTACCTTGCTCTTACCACAGACTTTTCTGGTCACGCCCAACATTCCAGAAGCAAAGCTGCTTCTTTCCGATGCAGGCAAGCAGTCTCTCGAGGTAGAAACGATCGAGGACCTCGAGAACTTGGCCCGAATGACACAAGAGTTAGGTCCGGAGTGGGTTCTTATCAAGGGCGGCCACGTGCCGTTCAAGAAAGACGGCACCATCGCGAGAAGCCCGGAAGAAAGGCAGTTAATGGTAGACGTGCTGTATGGCGAGGGCCGGATCACCAGAATAGGGGGCACGTATCAAGACTCGAAGAACACGCACGGCACCGGCTGTTCACTGGCATCCGCCATCGCCTCCAACATTGCGAAAGGTTTGAGCCCGGTGGAGGCAGTCAGCGCGGCTTGTCAGTATGTTGAGGCTGGCATTCGAACAGCACCTGGTTATGGTCAGGGCAATGGGCCATTGAATCATTTCCATTCGGTCTACACTCTACCATTTGCACCGTGAGTTTACGAGACGACTCGATGTTTCCAGGAACCATGGAAGCTGAAACGCATATAGCGGCCGCTTCGTCGACTACTTACTGAACCGCCCAGAAGTGGCACCGGTATGGCACAAATTCGTCAACCACCCATTTGTCATGGGACTTGGGAATGGGGAACTGCCACTCGACTCGTTCAAGAAGTATTTGATACAAGATTACCTTTACCTGGTACATTTCGCACGTGCGAACGCTCTTGCGTCGTACAAAGCGAAGAGTATGGAAGACATTGCCGCAGTATGTCTGTCTGGATTTCTGGCTATGCTCCGGTCTGCATACTAACCAGTGTCTTGTCCTAGGGTGCCAAAATTGTCACGCATATTCACACAGAGATGAGCCTCCATCTCGACTACTGCGCCTCTTTCGGCATCTCGAAAGCTGAGATCGAGGCGACCGAGGAGCAGCAGGCGTGCACGGCGTACACACGGTATGTGCTGGATGTTGGCCAGTCCGAAGACTATCTCGGCCTCCAGGTCGCACTCGCACCCTGCCTGCTGGGCTACGGCGCCCTCGCGGCAATGCTGCACGGCGATCCGAGGACCAAGACCGAGGGCAACACGTACTGGAAATGGATCCTCAACTACGTCGCGGATGACTATGTCGAAGCGGTGCGCACCGGGCGCGCCCTCATGGAGAGACATGCGGCGCTGCAGAGCCCGAGCCGGGTTGAGGAGTTGGTCAAGATATTCGTGCATGCGACCAAGGTAAGCAACCCAAGCCCAGAAGGGGGATGCGTTGAGTAAGGATGGCTGCTGATATTGTAACAGATGGAGATCGGATTTTGGGAGATGTTCCCCTCTTCATGACCCATTCCGAGGTGGCCTGGAGGCGACGGAAGAGAACCGGTGGCATTTTTTACACATAGAACAGCTGTAATCTTGAGAAGAGCCCTGGAGCATGGCAACAGCAGCATATATAGATGATCACCAGATAGATTATGAATGAGTTTCAATGTCCTGCGAAATGTGACAGGATAAGCACAAGGGACACGGCTTCCTTGATTCTGATGCATATGCGCACCTTCACACCTTTCTTCAAATGAAAGGTAACATAAGGGTAAGAACCCAAAGGGACTTGCACGTCGCCTCAGGCTGGCTCATGGCACTTGCCAGCGGTTGCTAAGGACACCAGGGCGTCCCAGGCCGCACTTTGACGACGCCTACGTACGACAAATATCCATGGATGCAAGCCTGTTGTAAATAGCCCCTGGAGGGATCAGACGACCATGTCAACCCAGGATACTCGCCGGAAGATAACTGCGCTCGGTCTTCACTCAGAACGACTCATTGTGCAGACCTTTCTACCTAGATAGGTACCTTTGGGCAAATCGACCTACCTATCGATAAGTCAACGGATCCCTGGGAGCGTCGTTGGTTTGGCGACGGCGGGCCAACGAACGCAGGGTCTTGTGCACGGGCCACTTTACCTGACTAGTGTGGAGCCGGCCGGACCTGCTAAAATATTTTTTTTTCATCCGCCCAACTGGCGCCGCCTGAAAGCAGCCTCGACTTCTCGCCTCCCAGCAGCCATCGAAAACTTCATCAACCCAACAACCTGCCCTTCTACCTCCCCTCCGTGTGACCCTTCTTCCTTCACCTCACACATCCTCTCATTTCGCGGCCTTTGTCTCCGCATTCTCCCCCACACGACTTCCATCGAAGTCGCAGAAGCTGCGATCTTAACCCATCCCAGCCTCTCAAGAGTCTCCCTGCGCTGCGCGCATCAGTAATCAGACCTTTCCGACAAACAAGACCCTTTCCATCCCGATCAAGATGTCTTACGGCGGTGGCTACGGTGGCCGAGGCGGTGGAGGCTACGATAAGTACGGTTCCAGCGGTGGTCGCGACGGTGGCTATGGGTATGTGCTGCAATCTCACGTTGATGCCTATTTCCTTGTCCCTCGGCTTCGGCAATTTCTGATTGGCGACCGTCGAGTCTTCGCTCATTCCTCCCATCCTAATTCTCTTCGACTGTAAACGAATACTGACTTGCATAATTAGTGGCAGCAACGGCTACTCCAACGGTCACGGCGGCGGTGGCCACGGTGGTGGTTACGGCGGTGGTGGCTATGGCGGCGGCGGCGGTGGCGGCGGCGGCGACAGAATGTCCAACCTGGGAGCGGGCCTGCAGAAGCAGAACTGGGGTGAGTAGCGAACGGCCTTCCTTGATTGCACAACTTCCTCGTGAACAAACACTGACTCTTCTTGCAGACCTCGGTACTATGCCCAAGTTCGAGAAGTCCTTCTACAAGGAAGACGACGCCGTTGCTGCACGCTCGGATCAAGAGGTTGAACGATTCCGACGAGACCACCAGATGACCACCCACGGCCGGGACATCCCGAAGCCTGTCGAGACCTTTGACGAGGCCGGATTCCCTCGCTATGTCATGGATGAGGTGAAGGCGCAAGGCTTCCCTGCCCCCACTGCCATCCAGTCCCAAGGCTGGCCCATGGCGCTCTCTGGACGCGATGTTGTCGGTATTGCCGAGACGGGTTCCGGCAAGACACTTACTTACTGTCTTCCCGCCATCGTCCACATCAATGCCCAGCCTCTGTTGGCCCCTGGCGATGGCCCCATTGTCCTGGTCCTGGCTCCTACTCGTGAGCTGGCTGTCCAGATCCAGCAGGAGATCACCAAGTTCGGCCGTTCATCCCGCATCCGAAACACTTGTGTCTACGGAGGTGTTCCCCGTGGTCCCCAGATTCGCGACCTTTCTAAGGGTGTCGAGGTCTGCATCGCGACCCCAGGTCGACTGATTGACATGGTTGAGAGCGGCAAGACCAACTTGCGCCGTGTGACCTACCTCGTTCTCGACGAAGCTGACCGCATGCTTGACATGGGTTTCGAGCCCCAGATCCGCAAGATCATCAGCCAGATCCGACCCGACCGTCAGACTCTCATGTGGTCCGCTACGTGGCCGAAGGAAGTCCGCGCTCTGGCTTCCGACTTCTTGACCGATTTCATCCAGGTCAACATTGGTTCTCTGGATCTCTCCGCCAACCACCGCATCACCCAGATTGTCGAGGTTGTCAACGAGAGTGAGAAGCGTGACAAGATGATCAAGCATTTGGAGAAGATCATGGAGGACAAAGCTAACAAGTGTCTCATTTTCGTCGGCACCAAGCGAGTCGCTGACGATATCACCCGATTCCTCCGTCAGGACGGCTGGCCGGCACTCTGTATGTCCCTTTCCCCGCCCGAACTGCAACTCACACCTGCTAACGTCACTCCCAGCCATCCACGGAGACAAGCAACAGAACGAACGTGACTGGGTCCTCGACCAGTTCAAGACCAACAAGAGTCCCATCATGGTCGCCACCGATGTGGCCTCGCGTGGTATTGGTATGATTAATAACCCCCTCCCCTCCCCCTCCCCTGTAGCAACTTCCAGCAGAGTTATATCCGCTGTGCTTTACTCTCATGTATGTCTAGGGGCTCTCTCGATTGTGCACAACTTGCCTGACCTCGTGCTCCGTGGTTCTCTCACGTTCTGGATATCTGGGATCCGTTGTGTAGCAGCCATCAGCACGCTGCTATGCTACTTGAGTTCCCCCCTTGTGCCTTGCTACCCCTTGTGGCACGAGGGCGGAATTGGCATTTCTTGATTCTGTCAAGCTGTCTCTCTAGATTCCAATGTCCCGAGGACCCGGATCGTGATGAATTCCTTCCATTCTGGCACAGTGACGCAACAGACAGCCCCATTCTCCCTGGAGAAAGCACGGAACTATATACTTAGACACCATCCGTGGCTGGGATTTGCTACACAGACCCTTGCTATATGAAGCTAACATTTGATGTAATCAAGACGTTCGTAACATCACTCACGTGTTGAACTATGACTACCCGAACAACTCGGAGGATTACATCCACCGTATTGGTCGAACTGGTCGTGCTGGCGCGAATGGCACAGCCATCACGCTCTTCACTACTGACAGTAAGTTTCTTCCCCCACGGACGTACTCATCAGGCTTCATCGCTGACAAATGACCCCCAGACTCTAAGCAGGCTCGTGATTTGGTTGGCGTCCTTCAAGAGGCTAAGCAGCAGATTGACCCCAAACTGCACGAGATGACTAGATATGGTGGTGGTGGCGGTGGCAGATTCGGTGGCCGGGGCTGGGGCCGCGGCGGTGGTCACAGAGGTAGGCCTCGACACTAGACGATTTCATCGTACAGGCCCTTACTAACGCCACTCAGGTGGTCGCGGTGGTCAAGACGGCGGTGGTGCCAACGCAATGCCCCTCGGTAGGGGACGCTGGTAATCACATACCACGGAAGCGATTGCTCTCAGTCTTGCCAGCCTTGGCCAGTCATGCGTGCTGTCACCGATCTTGACAATCGAGGAGCGGTGAAATTAATGGTTGCTATTATTTGTCTTCATGCACATATGCAGCAAAAGTCGGCGTTGTGGTTAGAGGATTTTGTTTGTACTAGATATGGGGTTGAGGCTGCCCCCATCAGCCTTGTTCATCCACTTGGGGATGAGAGCCTTTTTCATGTGTCCTTTAGGTAGGCGGCTTGTCCCTCGAAGCTCGCAAGCATGCAGCGCTTGGAGATGCATCAGGCAGACCAGCCTCTAGAAAGAGACGGTTGAGACCGGTAGCTAATTAGCGATAGCTGGATGTAGAGGCATTGCGCCCAGTAGGTAGCAGAATGAATCCGCCTCGACCTAGACTGAAGTTGATGATGGGAGCCCAAGGTTGGACGTGATCACAGTGATATGCCGGGAGTCAGCACCGTTGGCAACATATGAACAGGGAAATACAGAGCCAGAAGGGGCGTGGACTCCGCTCACAAATCATACAAGGCTGATCACCAGACCTCGCACGGGATGTGGGATGTCCACAGGCTGCAGAAGGTCCATTATCTCGCGCCCGCGATCTGCCCAAATTGAGATTCTCTGGCCCCATCTTGATTTTCCCCTGACGCTGGAAGCTCCTAGGAAGCTCCTAGCCCCAAGCTCTCTGAGCCAAGTCCACTGAGCCCCACTAGTCCGCCAATCGCTGGGGCGCACGTCCCCCTGCAAGCCGGAGTTAACAGCAGCAAGGATCAACAAGCTCAGGGAGAAAAACGAGTTCGTGGACGGTGGGACCGCTCCGGAGGACTGGGATTCTCAGTAAGCAGACCCGGGGCCTGACCAGCTGGACGCGAGGCTGTTGGGGAGCAACTGAACAGTCAGTCAAGAGGGTCAATGTCAATTTGCGGCTCAACAAGAGTAGACATTGCTTCGCCTCTTGTCTCCTGCCCGCGGCCTTTGTGTATGTATTTGGATGGTTTCCTCTTGCGACAGAGCCCCTTTCGTACGTGCGCATTTCGGGGAGAGATCGTCATCTTGTCTGTACCCACTGCCACCACTATTGACACACTTATCGTCGGTGCTGCAGCGTGACGTGCATCCTTTCTAAGCATTCCTAGCGACCACGCCCAGACTAAGGTAGATGGACTAAAACCTACTGTAGCGAGCAAGCAAGTCCCCTTTCGAGTTCACAGCGTCGCCCAGCTGCCCCAAGTCGCATTCCAGCCGCCCGAGACACCGTGAGCCGCCGATATCACGAGGCCGGATCTTTTCCACTCGTCGCCCGATTTGATTTGCAAGCGGTTCGACGTCGCCAGCCCTCCGGACGGCCGCGCTACCACCCGGTGCATGGTGATCGGTATCCTCGGGACAGTGTCGAGATGGGATATCGCCGCATACACTCACACTATTAGCACTAGTTGATGATGAAGGGAAACGGTCTCACAAGTAAACATCATGTAAGCTTCCACCAGAGCTGATTGCTGGCCCGCAGAGGCCGTCCGCGCCATTGTTGCCCCTGCTGACAGCCTTCTTCCCTTCCAGCCGGCTCCGTGGGACGCGCCGAGGGCGCCGTGAGGTGCAGAAACCATGGCCCTGTTCAACCCGACCTTTATCTTCGGCGTCATTGTCCTCGCCTACATCGCGTCCTTCGTCGTCTTCGCTCTGCTACGTATCGTCACCGGCATCTCTATACAGCGCATCGGCTACTTCTCCCTCCGCCGCCTCGCCTACACCCCCAAGGATGGCATCAAGATCGAGATCCGGGGCCTCGGCCTCAACGTGCACCGGCCGACCTTCTCCCAACCCACATGGCTCAGCATTGTCGTCAGCGAGCTTGCTGTGACCGTGGACATAAGACAGCTGGAACGCCACAAGGCTGGCATTGTCGGGGATGACAGCGACGACGAAGATGGCGGACCCGGCGAGGCCACGTCCAAACCTCTCCCGAAGAAAGTTCCCCTGACCCGCCGAGCCACCTTCGGCGTGGCGCGCAGCGAGACGTGGAAACAACTCACGCGGATGAAAGAGAAACTGAAGCGACTACACCGGAACATACATTGGCTTCGGATGGTCGATGTGGTGGCTACCGACTCCACCGTCAATATCGTGGATGTTGGCCAGATTCAGTGTGGCAACTTCACTGTGGCAGTCGACACCCGTCGCAAGATGGTGGATCGCGCTCGCTATTTCTTCCAAACCAGGGCAGACCAGAAGCTCCAGAAGCAACAGGCAGAGTGGATCGTCACTCTACGAAGCGTGCTGTTTACTGCCAACGGCGGGGAGGCGTCCGAAGTACTCGACAACGCCGTGCTCAACGTTCATGGATTCCTCTACGAGCGCCTGGACGGACTCCGCGATGCCACAATCGCCCTGAAACTTGGTCGTGTGCATATCCCCTATGACGATGTGCAAACTTGCGTCGAGCGTTACCAGAGATGCAAGCGGATGTATTCCAAGGACTATCATACTGTTGAGGCTTTGGATGTGTCTGTAGATCAAGTCATCCAGGAGCTCGGTCAGCCAGGCAGTACCGACCAGGATCTTATGCAGACGGTCTCGGACTCCAAGGAGTTTGTGAGCTCTATTCTCCGCGGCATCAAGGAGGTTCAGTTCGCCGTGAGTCTGGTCGGCCTCAGCAAGAAGGTCGAAACAGTCAAAGCGTCGGGTACGCCCCTGCTCCTGAATTTCACCATGAAGGAAGTGGGTATCGACTTGCATCGCCTGGATCCGAAGTCTCCTGCGCACCGGATGTACTTCCCTTCCAAGGATCTTGCACACGAGGCGCTCGCCGCTGCTCTCTCGATATCTGTTGGCTTGGACGATGGACATGGGAAACCTGAACGCTTAGTTTACATCCCAATGGCCACCACGACCGTTAAGACAACGCTTCCCTCCAAGACGGTTGAGCTTTCAGATGATGGAAGCGCGGAAGAGCGTAACGCCAACATTCTCTTCGCCAACAGCGTAGTCACCTCACCGTCTGTCGATCTAGATCCCAAGCATCTTCCGATCCTCGTGGCGCTTCTCAGACCTCGCCCCAAAGCCCCCAAAGCCCAAGTACAGCAACGGCATCTGTTAATATCTCGTCTTCTGCCCAAGGCGAACATCAAATTCACCATGCATGAGCCCGTTATACGCGTCGCCTTGCCCCCTGTACAGAAGACGAACGATCCCGACGATTTTGACCTGATCATTTCGTCCATATCCTCCATCTCTTTGGATGTCGAATCTTTCCACTCGGCGGTTGAGGATCTGCACTATTCTCTCGTGTCGCAAATGCGTGTTCAGACGCATAATCTTTACTACCAGACAGCGCAGGGAACTCGTTTAGATCTGGTTGAAACCGAATTCTTTGATCTGAAGGTCACCCTCGGCGCAAATCCCGACGTCCATGTGATGGCTAATGGGCATCTGCAATCCCTGGCCATCCACCTGGTGCGGCCAGAGATAGGAGATGGCATTCGACAGATCCTTCGACAACTGAGACTTGACGTCGAGCCGGACAAGCACGGCAGATCTAAGTCTCAGAAGCCGCACAATGGCCTTAGGGCACTGCCACCATGGCTCCTACACTTCCAGGTCTCGGCCGACGACTTCAGCGCCGAGCTCGCGGGAACCGATGACGATTTTCCAAATATCAGTCGGGGAGTCGCACTGCAGATAGACTCTTGGTCTGCCGAGTATCGCGCTCAGCGCATGGATCAGCATCTTCGACAGCGCCCCACGTCGAGAAGGCGGGCAGCGAGCCGTGCAATACTGCCTGATCCAGATGTACTGAGATCATTGCCTTCGCCTGCGTCTCCCAGAAAAAAACACCCGGAGTATCTCAACCACGGTGACGGACGCCGGATCGCCATTCATGTCCGTGGGCTCGAAGCCTTCATCATTGACAACGCAGAGAAGTGGGAGGCCGATCCTTTTGTACATATGCCCAGGTTTGAGGTTGCATTGTCAACTACCAGTGACAAGCAGGGACCCATTCTGCATGTGCACTCCCATCTCAAGACTTTGATGCTACAATATTCGCTTTACCGCCACTACGCTGTAGGTGTTGCCGTCATGGTGCTGAAGAAGGCCTTCATGCGGACAAAACGGGATACTACAGACTTCAAGGCGACGCAACATCATTCGGCAACGAGCCCCGGGTTGAGTGATCATCTGAGTCCTCCTTCGTTCTCACCCGAATCGCCTGCCACAGATCAGATGGATCACCTGCCTCATCCTGCGAAGGAATTGGTGACGATTGACGTCAAAGCTTCTCTTATCCAGATCAAGGCTGACCTACCTGCCGATCCTCCCGTCATGCTCCAGATTTATAGTCTTGATGCCGGTCGTCACAGATGGTCTGCACCGTTCATCCACGCCAAGCTTGTACGCCTCTTCGCTGGAGCGCCACGGATGCAAGGCGTCTGGGCCCGGGTAGCTAGCATTCAGGCTTTCCGTCTGGATTACCGCGAGTCAAGGAAGTTCACAGCATTTGGGTACCAAGACGACAGGATGTTTGATATCAATACTGACGCAATGCGCCTTGCTGTTCCGCATGAACTTATCATCAACAAGATCTCGGACAACTTCATTAACGTCATCAAGGCCTCTCAGCAGTTACATCACCGATTCAAAACTGGGACAAACGAGTATATCCTCGATAAGGCGCCTGAAGGACCCAAGAATGTGCCGAAAATTTCCATTCGGACTCGCCATCTCTTGTTCGAGTTGGAAGATGGTGCCTTCGAATGGAAGTTGGGTATGATCTACCGGGCCGGGCGGGTTGAACAACTTCAGAGACTGGCCCGTGAGGAGGCTTATCGTGTCAAAGTCAAGAAGATACACGAAGCAGAAATTCGAAAGGAGTCTACCCGCCTGCGAAATCGGTCAGCAGTGACTCGAGGGCGAACCAACAATGCTGGCGTATCCTGGAGCCGCAGCCGGAGTGAAGACGGACGACCTCGCACCGCTATGGACGGTAGGCCGGCTGACGATAGTTCACGAGGACGGAATAAGCCACGCTATGACCCTGATGGTATACTTGGCTTCAGCGGCAGCGCACACGTCTCAATACAAGAGGCAAGGCAGAGGCTACACGAACACAATGCTCAGAGCTGGAGAAAACGGATCGATCGTCATTATCAAATGGCCAGGAATGGCATGAAAGATCTTAGGGGCTTACATTGGGGCCAAGAGCACATCCCTGAAGACCTAGAGAGTCACGAGAAGATCCTGGAAGTACCCCAACGACCCGCGCTCATGGGTGCTGTGATTGAGGATCTGCATTTCATGATCGACAAGCCATCTTTCCCTCTACACCATCTGCCTGATTTCCTTCATGATGTTGGGAAAGGCATGCCAAAGGATATGAAGTACTCACTCCTCATACCAATGAACGTCCAGATCAGCATGAGCCAGGCCAAGATGAACCTGCGAGATTATCCCTTACCACTACTACATATTCCTGCCCTGAAGTCTGGCCAATCATCTCGCTTACCAGCCATGTCTTTGAAGACAGACTTCGTCATAGCCGAGGAATACCGTGGCAGCGGGTCAACCAGAAGGATTAAGGTTCAAATCACACCGCCAACCAACAGCGAACCAGGACAGCCATCCGGAGGCAGTTTTGCAATCGATGTGCGCCGGACTATTGGCCCCGTCAAATCATATTCCGATATGCATGTGGATATCAACACTGCGTACCCAACACGAATTACCTGGGGTCCTTCATATCAGCCAGCGATTCAAGATATGATGATGGTCATTGAGTCCTTCACCAAGCCCCAGCTTGACCCGTCCGAACGAGTGGGATTCTGGGACAAAATCCGGCTGAACTTCCACTCCCGAGTCCGGGTGGCATGGAAAGGCGATGGCGATGTGCATCTTGCTCTCAAAGGCACCCGAGACCCCTATAATGTCATTGGAAACGGCGCTGGTTTCCTAATGTGTTGGCGCAACGATGTACGGTGGAACATTAATACAGAGAATGAACCTAAGAAGTTCATGACAGTGGACAGCGGCGAGTATGTTCTTGCTATCCCGGACTTTAGTCACCAGGAACGTGAAGCCGCCCGGCGGACTGGGGAGGGTGACAGTATCTCCAGCGAGGATGCCTACAAGTCCGGTGCTCTATTCAAGAAAGTTGTGATGAAGTTATCGGGCAACGTTCAGTGGATGGCTGGTCTTGTTTTCGAAAAGGCCATTGAGAACGGCCATCGCAGCTTCGAATTCAAGCCTCATTACGACGTCGTTCTCAAGGCCCCACAACACGCCAAGCCCGAGGGTGGCCTTCCGTACGATGCTTTCAGAGGCTTCAGGAGTCAACATATTCACCTGTCGATTGGGGTTAGAGCTCCTGTCGATAGAGACTGGCAATCTACTGAGCTTCAGACATCTAGGAGCTACAACACTGTCCACTTGACACCGAGGTTTTTCACCCACTTCTTTGCCTGGTGGTCAACGTTCGGTGGCCCGATGTCTTTGCCTGTTCGCCAAGGCTCTCTTTGGCCTGGTAGGGAGAAGAACAGCAAGAAGTTTGGCAGACATCTTGGTACAATCAAGTACAATCTTCTACTAGCGCCACTCTTCTTGAGCCATATCTACAAACACAAGGATGCGGAGGACTACTCTGAAAATTCAGTCTCAGCAACGGGCATCAAGGTCCGATTCGATAGCTTCATGCTTGACATGCACCAGCGCCGAGAGGAATTCAATACGCGAGACCGAGGGCGCGAAACTCAGAGCAGGACAACAGCAATGAAAATCCACGCTGCTCAGCTTGATCTTGTCTCTGCCGATGTACGTGCTGTCTCGGCTAGCATCAAGGGCACCACGACCGAGGCAATCAAGAAGAATTCCCTCTCAACGCTCATTGCACAGGGTGAAGAGGATGGCACGGACTTGTCACACTTTACGATCCCAGATAATGACTTCAGTTGGATCGACATGGATGACTTTGTCGAATTGGACTGGATTCTGCCTTCAGAACCGAACCCTGACACCAAGATTCTGCCACTGGCCTATGCCCCGCGGGTTACATACTTCAGGCAGACAGATATCGGAGGCGTCATTGCTGGAGACCCGGACCGTACCAGTCCCTTTGGGCACGAGCCGACTCACATGTGTATTATGAGTCAGGATGACAACCCGAGGGAAGTACAGCAGCAGTTGATAGAACAACGGCTCGATCAATTGGATACACAGATCGACAACAACGTGAGGGCGTGCGGCGAGAAGGAACTCCACATCATCCGCGGCGGCGGCAATGACGACCAACTCCGGTCAGATTTCGAAAGCTTCACAAGACATACAGGTGTGCTGAAAGACAAGAAAGTCTTTATGCAAAGCATGTTACAGACAGTAGCCATGAAGGTCTCAAATGATGAGCCGGACCAATCCAGTAACGGGTCGCCCAAGTCAGGGGCGTCGGCAAAAAGCGCATCTGCGAGCCCTGCGGATGAGACAAGAGGGACTACGGGAGCTGACTACGCAAGCGATTTCAAGAACCGTTTCGTCATCCACAACATGCAGCTCAAGTGGAACAACCTGCTCCGAAACATCATTCTTCGCTATAGTCACCAAGTCAGCCAGAGGAGAGGTTTCATTTACTACCTCTCCCGGCCAGCAGTCAAATTCATTCTAGACATCGTGGAGGAGCAGGCTAAGGCGAAGAGCAAAGACAAACCCGGAAGCACAGCTTCCCCAGAGAAAGAGGAGCATCCTGCCGCTGCTCAGCCCAACGGCCCGACCAAAGAAACCGCCCAGGATATTGAGCACCGCATCAAGCAGATCCTGCAAGATGGCCGCAAGTTCGTCAATGCTGATGAGTCGAACGGCGCTGGTGATGCTGCGCCTAATGTTAACATCGAGGATATTACTTCAGGCATTGCGGAGGACTTCGCGACACAGAGCAGCTACCATGTCCGCCTCATAGCGCCTCAGATCCAATTGCAGAGCGACAAGAACAAGAAACATGTAGTACTGATTACTGCAAAGGGCATGGAACTCAAGGTCGTTGAGGTCATGGAGAAAGCCCGGATATCGGATATGGTCAGTGGTCTCGTGCAGCGTCGGTTCTTGGTTGCAATGGATGGAACGCAATTCTTTGTGACTCATCAGAAGTGGTTCACTGGCCAGCTTCTGGCTCTCTATTCTGGAAACACGTATGGCACGGCGACCGGTTCTTCCTGGCCCCCCTGGGTGCCTATGGAGGTCATGTTTGATTTTCTATCGGATCCTATCGGGTTTAAGCGCGTGGTCCAAAAGACTTCGGCAACGCTCAGATACGACAAGTACAACACGCTCCGTCTCAAGTATAATGACGATATCAACGACAGCGAGGGCACGAACAACCCTGGCAGCGAGAATGACGAGAGCAGATTGGACAATCTCTGGGTTGAATTCCCACAAGCTAGAGCTCTCTGTAACTCGTCGCAATACTATGCGATTTACGTCATTGTTCTCGACCTTTTGCTTTACAGCGAACCCCTGGAAAAGACACGAAGCGAGAGGCTCGAGAAGATTATGTTGGCGTCGGATTTCAGCGACCTGCGAGGCACTCCTGAAATGGTCATAAAGCTTCAGGAACGAATCAGGCAACTGGAGGAGATCAAATCGCATTTCCAGATCAACTCCAAATACCTCGATAAGAAGGGCTGGCAAGACCGCCTGCTCCTCGAGCGTGATCTGAGTGCGTGCGAGGATGAACTCTTCTTCATGATGAAGGCCATCACCACGTCGCAGCGGAAATATGAGACCACTTCTCAAAGCAATGCCCTGCTCCGATGGAGTATCGCTGCGAAAGAAATCGTTTGGCATCTTGTCCGTGAAAACAACGAGCCCCTAGTAGAGCTTCAGCTCAGGGACGTCGAATACGACAGGACAGACAACTCAGATGGTTCGCACATCAACTTGTTCCAGGTCGGTAAGGTTCTGGGTCTCAATCTGCTTCCCGATGCAATGTACCCTGAAATGATCGCGCCGTACGTCATGGACGAGAAATTCAATGCCAAGGAGTTCGAGAACCAGCAGATGATCCGCGTTTACTGGCACATGTTGGAGGCTATCGCTGGTATTCCCGTTATGGACCATTTCGAGGTCAATCTCTTCCCACTGAAGATACAACTCGAGAGAGAAGTTGGCAAGAAGCTCTTTGAATACATCTTCCCGGAGATGGAGGGAGAAGAGTCTAAGAACAACGTCAACCGGACTGATTCGCCCTTCATACTGACGCAAAGCATGAATGATACCGAAGATGACCCTCAAACTGAATCAATGACAAATAGCAGCCGTCTAGGGTCCGTTGCATCTGAGAAGGATTCTGGCTTCAACACGCGAGCTGGCTCATTGGAACTTCGCCTCCGACCAACGTTAACGTCAGATTCTCAAACACCAGAATCTACCCCTGAGAAAGCCAAGGCGCTCAGCGTCCATTCCGGCGAGGGGAATGTCTTCCGCCTCTTCAACTCCAAGTCTGTCAGTAAGAAACCATCTTACGAGTCTCTTCGATCAAGTCAGATGACTCCACGTCCTGGCATTGGGCGGTCATCTACGGTCGCCTCTTCACAAAGCGATACCAAGAAATCTACCCGCTTTGCCCTTCGCAGCAGCGGGAAGGCTTCAGAAGAGAAGCCGTCAGATGACCTGACCAAGATGATGGACCGCGCTTCCAATTATATGACGTTCGCCTACATCAAGATGCCATCCGTTGTCCTATGTTTATCATACAAGGGCAAGGGTGACCGTAACATCGAGGACGTACACGATTTTGTGTTCCGCCTGCCAACCATTGAGTACCGCAATAAGACGTGGTCCAACCTGGACCTGGCGCTGGCGCTCAAATCCCGTGTCATCAAGGCACTCATCAGTCACACGGGAGCTATCATCGGGAACAAGTTTAGCAGGCACAAGCCAAACACCAAAGAACAGGGCCGTCTGCGTGAACTTGCGACAAGCTCGGTCCTCTTGGCGACTCCAGCGATGAGTGGCAGTGGCGACAACAGTGACGATAGTTCGAGCTTGTTCGGAACCAGCCCTGTCGACTACTCTCGCAGCCCTCCGCGCAGCCTGAGGGGATCCGGCAGCAGCATCCCCGTGCCCCAGAGAAGTGACTCGAGGAGCAGCAGCGTGGCATCGAGCCGACGAAGCTACCTGGCCACAAATACAACAACTTCGTCGACGTATTCCGGGCAGAGCAACGGGGAGCAGCACCGAGGGGCTAATGTACCATCGTTCTTGATGATGACACCCCCAACACCTCAAGATCGTGCCCCTCCAACGGGTCTCGGTATCGATAACATGCGGCCCGCCTCGAGCGCGGGCGAGACGAGACAGCGTCCGACAACAAGAGGTAGCTTGAGGCCTAGCAGCAGGGGCTCTGCTCTTGACGTTCCGGACTCAAAGAGAGAATTCCGCAGGCGCAGCACCGCTGCACCAGTCGGGAATGGCAGCGGGAGCAGCAGCAGCAGCGGGCTAGCTGGGCTAAAGGGCAGATTTAGTGCGTTGACCAACCGGCTCAAGGACCGCGAGGGAAGCGGGCTGAGTGGCCTAAGCAGAAGTAACACCTCGCGGCTTGAGCCTCCAAGTAATATGAAAGATGAGGAGGAGGAGCAAGACTATTGATGATGGGCATAGGACGTGGGTCGGGGATAGTGGGCATGGCGGGTCCGGAGACTCAGGTGATGAATATGAAGTCATTCGAGTCAGAGATAGCAAGCTTTTAGAAGACTTGGATTGCTACGGAGTACAAAAGAGGACCTTGAGCCAGGAAAAGTTCCATTTGGCAGCTACAAAGCGGGATTGGAGTTGGTAGGCTTACTGTTCAAGTATCGGTCGCTCTACAACACCACATTTTTCTTTGCCTTTCCTCTTGTTTTATTACAACTACTTCTACCACAAGCGTATACAGTTGGGCTACTCTCAGCCTCGCTGGAGAGAGAGAGAGAGAGAGAGACCATGTATGTATATAGCATCGGCTCGGTCTGTGTTAGAGATGTAGATTCGGCTTAGCACCAAGTCCCCCGAACGAGGAGCAATGTCAACTTCCATTGCGGAGGAAATAATTCATACATATGATTCAATCTCGACCGTTGTTCACACTCTATCTTTGGTAGGTAGTAACATGAGTCGTAGGGCTAGATTCTGCAGATGTCACGACACTAGATTTTGCTCATGGGCCTTGGGGAGTGGCCAGCATGGAAGGTATGAAACGGCAGAATGAATACCAAGGAGCAACCAACAAAGGAGAATAGCTTCTATCGTAACACATCCCATATGCGATAATCTCACCTTGTAAAAGATAATCATGAAATTAGTTTCCCAATGCTCTCATGTTGTTCTCTATGTTCCTTGGTAAGGAGCTAGTAGTTACCATGACAGCGTTCCGTGGAAGACTCATGTCCAATGGTAAATCCCTCGAGTTTCCCGCGCACCCGCCGTCTTCTTGTTGTCTCGGTTGCGGAAACCAGGGAAACTAGAGCTTCTAATGTACTGGCAACGGGACTGGCAGCAGATCCCCAGGACCGATAGTGCCAACAAGCGAGACTGTACTTCTAAAATTGCATCTCACAACCCGGGGACCTGGAAGCGAGATTCTGGCACGAGCAATGGACGGTACAGTTTTCTTGGCATCGGTTGAACGGCAGCAGTTGCCGGTCTCGTCTCTGAAAGCAGCCAGTAGTGTTTACCTTCCGGGAACATGATTTGCTGTGCATACGAAGAGCGTCAAAGACGATGGTATACGGATTACTACCGTACCAAAGAAGCTTCCAATACATCACAGTATCAGAGGCCAGATCCGGAGTCTACGTGTTCACGTGTCAGACTTTTACTCGAGTCGCAGACGTGGGAGTTCATTCACGCGTGATCCCACTACTGAATGTCACCATTGCAGCCTCATGGCAGACATTCTCCCAGCAGCAACACGAGGATCAATAGTGCACTAAGCCAATTCACAAGATCGACCGCACACAGAGTCTAGATACCGAAAACTTTGGGGAACCGGCCAGGAAGGCGGGGAAAGTTCATGACCCGCCGGTGTCTGCTGATTCTGGCGTCTACTGGAATGCTTTGTTGCATCCTGATAGATACACGGGCTATAGGACTGTTCACTATTAGTGGGGCTGCGCATCGTACACCCATACCCGTGTGTTTGCGAGCTTCTTAGAACGGAGTTCGCGCGAACCAAATTCCGCATCTGACTGGAATCTGCTTAAGACATATCCTATATAAGCCTTTATGGCAGCAGATGGCCCACATTGGTGCGACATCGCGTTGACACGCCATAGACGCCGAGGGGAATACTGTACGCAGAAATACCGCCGGTTTTGCCAGGCTGTCGCAGAGTGGTGTGTGGTATTTGTAGACTCCCACGGGAAACAAGATATGCATCGCATGCGTGCAGTTGAAACGATCGGAGTGCATATATATAGACTATAACCATACCAATTGCGCCCTCCTGGCCAAGCAGGGTTGATTCCTGTCCAAAATAGGTCGACTATACAGTCTTCTATACCCAAGAAGGGCAACTGGATATACTCGCCTGCTAGCGAGCGGGTCACGATGTCACTCTGGCGACGATACGAGGGCCCTAGTCAACCTGTCTAGAAGGTAGCCACGTGGGCAGCGGAATCAAATGCTACGCTGCGCCCACGCAGTTGATTATCACGGTTATCTGTCTTGCCTGAATCAGGTAAGAGAGCCGCACACAAGAGAGCTTGCTGTGGGACAAGCACGTGTGCCTCATAATTCCTCGCATCGCTCTGAAGGATGCATAGGTTTCACTGAAATGCGATACGAATTATGTTGCCCAATAGGACGAGGCCTCACTTACTGCTGTCTAGCAAAGAATCTTCGCGCGTGGCACATTTGCCGAAGGGATCAATTAGAGCAAGCGTTGCGTCGAACGCAGATTCATAATTCAGCACATGGAAGCTGCCAGATAGAAGAAACAAAGGTGGGATCTCTTCAGCACCCTTAAAGTCTTCATGCAAGAAGCGTGGGGGTTGGTGCCTCCGTGCAACACTTCACCATATTAGGGACCTTGGAGGCATCGTCCATTATGGCAGCCATACCATTTGCGCACTCAGCCCGGATTTTGGCCCACGTTGGCAAAAAAGCTAGTACACCGCTTGGTCGAAAACGTATGGATCGACGACTTTAGGTTGGGAGACTTGACCGAGCTCCCAGCTAGGATAGACCGCACTCTGGTAGGAGCCGCGTCATCTGGGCTCATCAACGGGGTCACGTTTGAACCAAGGGCAACGAGGGCGTCAAGAGTTCGAAAGTTCGCCGGAGCGTGTCGAGGCCCAACGGCACGGGACAAGGCTGAGATTACCGAAGCCCCTTGACTCAGTCGGCAGTCCTGACCGCCACGCTGCACCGAGACCTGCGCGCCTCCGGTGCAGAAAAAGTGCTGGCGAAACACGCTACGGCCTGTCTCACCCCGACCTGTATGTCTCGACCCGATGTGATGTGAAAACAAATGCTTCTGTGACGACGTGGTCGAAAAATAAAGGCGCCGGCACCGTCACACCGCCGGCTTGGTACAGCTGCACCCCTTGCATCACGAGGTGATGACCTCGCAGATGGCGGCACGCAATGTACCGGCTACGAAGCCGTGAGGCTCTGCATTGTCCGTGCAAAGCAATGCGCCGAACTCATCAGAGCAATGCAGAAGTGACAGTTGGGCCGTCTCATCAGCGACTAGTTCGGATGACATGACCTCTCCAGGGAATGCAGCTGCTGAGCATCCGGTGCCAGTTCGGGAATGGCCCCCCTTTTGACAGCTCCTTTTGAGAAGTTTCATTCATCCATTTAATCAGAATGACTCCGGAATCGCGACGTCGATCTGGAGAGAGTTGGTGCGCTCGAAACCGGGGAGTAGCTTGTTTCAGGTTGGCCTAATGCATATTCGCCGAATGTTAAAATAACATCTCGTAGATGCTCCCGAGTCTGGCTTAACACGGGGTAGTTGGCGGTCTACCTACCGCCATGTTTAATCTTAGAAACGGCGGCGCCGCGACGAAATTTGGCGCCGTGCCACCAAATGAAGATATGTAATGTTGATCTCCCTCCCGCGACGGGCTGGATAGTAGCGTCGATGGAAGCCATCGAAGCTCGAAAAGAAGAAATTGGACACGGGATCTGGCGGCGGTTGGGCTGAAGATCTGTGCGATGTGACAGCTGAAGGAAAAGGAATATGCACCATCCAACGGGAATCCTTCAGAGCTGTCTCGCATGACGTTATTGTTGAAGTTACGAGCTGCCGCTCACCGGGCGTCTAATTAGCAAAGTCCGTGGAACTGCTAGGGGCTTTGTCTCGCGGGCATCGGAACGCCCACTTTCAGGAAGGTATAGTGAAGCCTTATAAGAAGTCAGAAGCGCTAGGGTACCCGAGCCGTGGTATATAGCCTTTAATGATATGTTATGAGCCGTCTTATTAGAGGCGCAGCTGTTGGGCCGAGGTCGTATTGCAACCAAAACAACAGAGCTCCGGCCGAATAGTACAGCACCTGTCGACGACCGTACCATGGGAGGAAATAGCTTTTCCATGCTACAAGTGTGGCGTGCCTTGCGAAGCACCAAGAATAGTAACTCGAACTCCCGTGCACTGTGTGCAACGAACTTTGTTCGATATGCCAGATCGCAATCCAAAAGCAGTTGCTCGTCGGTTCCGAGGTCTCCACAATAAGCAGATGTATGCGGGACGTCTCTTGGAGTCGCAGCGACATACAATACATACACGACAATAAGAAAAAACTCTACAGTGCAGCAACTGGCTGCTGACAGCCCTGCTTCAACTTCACCGCTTTGTTTTTCGTCATGCCAGAATGAGTCGAGCACAAAAATCCTTTTCGGACGGATACGCACGATGGCATCAGAGGGAGCGCGGGGTCAGCCCCCAAGCAGACTCCTCGGTCGGCTCAAATTGACATCAACAGACCCAGCAGGGGAACAAGTTTGTTAGCTGCATTGTCGAAGTGGGCGAGTGCAGTCGTCGGCACATACATAGAGGACAGCACTCGTTGTGCTCCATCCTCCAGTTGCAGCGATTCCCCGGACAGATAGTTATTTGCCTCGGCCCGTCTGCGCCTGGCCCTTTGTGGGTGCTTTCGTATGTCTTTGGATGGGGCGAGAGGTGCGTTGGTTGGAAGGATTAGTGATGAACTACTCATCGCCCACGAACCTGGCAGAGCCCACTGAGTACAAAAGTTGTCGAATGGGGTGCTCCGCACAATAATTGTGGCGCCGAATCCATCCAGTCGACTGTGTTTCTCCGCAATTGAGGACGTATGCCAGGGATTGTATACTGCGCACCTCCGAATGGATCAAGGCTAACTAGCCCGCTGAGGGTGCCGTTGCGAGTCCCAAGCCATGTCACCCATACGTACGATATGTTCGTTTTAGAGGATCAACCATGTTCCTGCCAGCAAGGGCCACTAGCCGCACATGGCTTCTGAAGCGTATCGTTCTTTCAACAAGCCAGGCAAGCCAATGCCGGAAGTGGTCTGATGTCTATAATTACTTGGACCGCGAAGTCCAAGACAAGCTCCGTGCAGCGAATCACTACGAACGTCTTCCTAGACCGATGCCAATGCACCGTTCGGTTATGAAAGTTCTCT